AACCACCAAGACTTCCTAGAGCTGGCCACCCGGACAAACTCAGCAATCTGGGGAGGAGGGCCTTGGTCAGGGAGGTGACCAAGAACCCGATGATCACTCTGACAGAGCTCTAGAATTTCTATTTGGAGATGGGAGAACCTTCCAGAAGCACAACCATCTCTGCAGCACTCCACCAATCAGGCCTTTATGGTAGAGTCGCCAGACGGAAGCCAATCCTCAGTAATAGGCACATGACAGCCCGCTTGGAGTTTGCCAAAAGGTACCTAAAGTACTCTGACCATGAGAAACAAGATTATCTGGTCTGATGAAACCAAGATTGAACTCTTTGGCCTGAATGCCAAGCGTCACGTCTGAAGGAAACCTGGCAGCATCCCTGTGGGGAAGCATGGTGGTGGCAGCATCATGGTGTGGCGATGTTTTTCAGCGGCAGGGAGACTAGTCAGGATCGAGGGAAAGATGAAGGGAGAAAAGTACAGAGAGATCCTTGATGAAAACCTGCTCCAGAGCACTCAGGACCTCAGAGTGGGGTGAAGGTTCACCTTCCAACAGGACAACGACCCTAAGCACACAGCGAAGACAACGCAGGAGTGGCTTCGGGACAAACCTCTGAATGTCCTTGAGTGGCCTAGCCACAGCCCGGACTTGAACCCGATCGAACATCTCTGGGGAGACCTGAAAATAGTTGTGCAGTGATGCTCCCCATCCAACCTGACCAGAGGTCGAAATTAACATTGCGGGACTGGGGGGAAGCGGGTGGGAGTCGGACAGAAAGCCAGAAGGAGCGGGCGGGTATAGTATGAAAAGCTGCGGGTGTGGGCGGCAGCGGGATCTGTCCCGCGCAGACCTCTAGGTGGGTTCATTGTGTTGGGCGTGCTCTGGGGATGAATAACGGTAACAGGAAAAGCAGGTTAGGCTAGCTGACATTGTATTCTGGAGCAGTTGATTGACCTATCTTGTCGGGACATTGGAATTGGCCTAGTCTATAATGAACACAATAGAGGCTTGTGTGCACCTCTGTCTGGCCAAAGGGTCGTTGAAACCATGAGTTTCAGGCCAGGACAAACATTCTATGAAACCAGTGTTAGTTTTATCCACACATCAGATAGGCTAGGCCTAGGTTGTATTGTCCGTGTGTGTGTGTGTGTGTCTGTCTGTCTGTCTGTCTGTGCCTCCGTCCCAAGAACGCCAGTTTTCAGTTCAGTTAGTAGGCTAGGTTTGTTGTTGACATAGCAGAATGCGGTATTGTGAACAGGAAAATGTATATTTCCAAAGAACACAACCACAACGTAATATCTTTATCAAAAAAGCACAGTCAACAAGAAAGGCACATGTAGGCCTATTAGCTTGCCTGTTTCATTCTCTAGTTTCCATTTTAGCATGTCATTGTCACCTCTATTTGATGATGATTATTATTATGAGTAGGCCTAGTCAGGCCAATACATGTAGCTTGAAGTTAGTCCTATCCCACAACCTGGCTACCGTTCAAACATAATATGCAGTTGGTATTGAAGCTGTAGGCCTAGAAACTCCCAGAATTGATCTACTTTCCTTCACACAAAGATGGGCAGGCCTTTGTCATAAAGACAGCCTGCAATAGTTATGAAAGTTATATCAACCTTAAAGGATGATCAAATCAAAACATTGATGGATTTGAGTGACTCCTTATTACCTTTTGAGTTCAGAACCTTGTACTTTTCTGGAAGTTTACTTACAGGTAGAAGGTCTAGGCTACATTTTCATTTAAATTCATGTAAAATATGTAAAAGGTGGAAGCCTAGATTGAGTGTGCTCTTGAAAATGCAAATTGGAGTGCAGTTCACCATCTTCACTGATTTACATTGTGTTTGCAATCAAAGTAGGTTACTTGTCCTTAAAATAGACCTACTTCAATTGAGATGTTTTATACCTGTTATGCAGTAGCCTATTATTCATATTCAATTAAAGTGGAGGGCTATTCCCTCACGACTTCTGTTAGTCTCACTATAGGTCTCTACTCCTAGGTTCAATGTGCTGTGTTTACACAGGCAGCCCAATTCTGATCTTTTTCCACTAATTGGTCTTTTGACCAATCAGATAGCTCTTTTGCCAATACTTGTGCAAAATCTCACAATTGGGCTGCCTGTGTAAACGCAGCCTAATTCAGATATTTTGCCAATTATTTGCATATCTGATACCAATCTGATCTTTTCCCTAGTGTAAACAGCTAAAAAAACACATGGAATCTGATCTTTTGACTTCCGATTTATATCACCTTTACGCAAGCAGCCAAATTCTGATAACTTTTTCACTAATTGGTATTTTGTACAATCAGATCAGCTCTTTTACCAACAATCAGAGGCTACATCAGTGTGAATCTGCAAATCTGATATGGTTAATGTAAAACTGAGTGTGGACAGTCAGAAAAAAAGATTAGGCCTAGATATAGAAAGAAAATCAGATTTGGGTTTTTAGGGTGGCTGTGTAAACACAGCCATAGTGTTTAAAAAAACATACAGCATTTTCAAGAACAAGTCTTTTGGGGTTAATCTATGAAACAGAGATGGTTAAATTGCATGTTGACAAAAGGTTGATTCAGGGTGCCTGTAAGTGTCAGGATAAGGCAGCATCCAAGTAGGTCATCATCCAGATAAAAGAATAGGCTAGTTGATTACATCAGAGAACTGGGTAGGAACTGAACAATATTTGCCAGGCCACTGACCACCACTCTTAGGCCTAATTGCTTAACTTTTTGCTGGTTAAAATGTATTTAGTGAGTTGATTGTGGCCAAGTATGGTCTTTCAGTTAGTCTATTATTACCTATTTTTAACAGTAGCTAGGTGTCCATCCAATTGGCGACAGATTTTAATGCAAATAATCTAAAAACAATATGCGCATTTTCCCACCAGAGATGTTTCCATCAAACTGACTTGTCTATGCATGATGACGTAGGGCACATATAAATATTTTTTTTGCAGTAAAATTGTGTTTATATTGCAGATGCTCCCACTCTGGTCTTGGCACGTGCGCTCTAGCCAACAGCTCGCAGCTACAGTGCGGGTAGGATAGCCTAGATGATGAGATTATTATGGATAAGAGCGAGATTCTTTTTGTTGGTCAAACGGCAGCCAAGCATCGATCATCATGTCACCAGAACAAGACCCTCAATATTTATTGGAAAGGAGCATCAAGCTCATCAGCGTGCATTTTCACCACCCTGTGAATTTCATCTTAATTTATTGCATTTATAGCCTTATAAACGGCATGCTTTCCCGAGTCGTAGTGGGAGAACAACGAACAAATTGTCTGTCGACATTTAAGAAATTGTACTGACATTTCCTGTTTCCATCAAGCCGGTTGGGACTTTTTTTTCATGCATCAGGTAATTAATCCACATGAAATGGTTGGATGGAAACCTGGTTAGTCACTCAACATTTTAAAGTGGCAATCAGCAGTTGAAACAATAACAAAGCGTCTCCCTGCCCCCATTTCGGTAAAAGGTTAGGGATGGGGCTGGAGAAATGTAACCACTCTTAAATTAAAAGACAGAGCTATGGATGCAAGGACTGACCATCCATTATATAAAAATAATAGTTTTAACCATGTTTTGAGGTTATATAGTGTTTGTTTAAATGTACTTTGTTTACAAACATTGGAGTTAAACAAGCTTATATTTTGGGTTCTGATGTGGTACGACAGTTGGGGTATGACTGTTCTTGTCTATCAGTGTATCAGTGTTTTGTTACTTGTCATTTTTTGTGTGGACCCTAGAAAGAATAGCTGCTGCTTCGGCAAAAGCAAATGGGGATACGAATAAACCAATAAAAAGACAGTTATATTTTTCAAGTATCAAATGGATGTACAGTAGCAACTGCAGATTGACCCTTTAATTGGGTTCATAGGTTTCTGGAAAGTGTTTTATCAATGGTACTGTTCCATCACATTTTCAGGATGGGACAAACCATAGGCTATTGAAAACCATATTTTATCTCATTTATTGTCATTTAAGTTTGGGGTCATTTAGAATGAGTGACTTACAGTTAGTGAGTGCATACATTTTCATACTGCCCCCCCGTGGGAAACGAACCCACAACCCTGGCGTTGCAAGCACCATGCTCTACCAACTGAGCTAAATAGTTATTGCATAGTTTGGAGCTGTGTTTTGGGTCATTGTCCTGTTGTAGGAGGAAATTGGCTCCAATCAAGCGCCGTCCACATGGTATGGCATGGCGTTGCAAAATGGAGTGATGGCCTTCCTTCTTCAAGATCCCTTTTACCCTGTACAAAACTCCCACCTTACCACCACCAAAGCACCCCCAGACCATCACATTGCCTCCACCATGCTTGACAGATGGCATCAAGCACTCCTCCAGCATCTTTTCATTTGGTCTGCGTCTCACAAATGTTCTTCTTTGTGATCCGAACACCTCAAACTTCGATTCGTCTGTCAAAACACTTTTTTCCAATCTTCCTCTGGACAGTGTCTGTGTTCTTTTGCCCATCTTAATCTTTTCTTTTTATTGGCCAGTCTGAGATATGGCTTTTTCTTTGCAACTCTGCCTAGAAGGTCAGCATCCCGGAGTCGCCTCTTCACTGTTGACGTTGAGACTGGTGTTTTGCGGGTACTATTTAATGAAGCTGCCAGTTGAGGACCTGTGAGGCGTCTGTTTCTCAAACTAGACACTAATGTATTTGTCCTCTTGCTCAGTTGTGCACCAGGGCCTCCCACTCCTCTTTCTATTCTGGTTAGAGCCAGTTTGCGCTGTTCTGTGAGGGGAGTAGTACACAGCGTTGTATGAGATCTTCAGTTTCTTGGCAATTTCTCGCATGGAATAGCCTTCATTTCTCAGAACAAGAATAGACTGACGAGTTTCAGAAAAAAGTTATTTGTTTCTGGCCATTTTGATCCTGTAATCGAACCCACAATTGCTGATGCTCCAGATACTCAACTAGTCTCAAGAAAGCCAGTTTTATTGCTTCTTTAATCAGCACAACAGTAGTGAATGTCCATGTCAACTATACAGCTAGTCTAATATGTGTTTCTTTTTCAGCCATTTTTTCAGCTGCTAAAGCTACGAAAGCTGGGCCTGAGTGACAACGAGATCCAGAGACTTCCTCCAGAAATAGCTAACTTCATGGAACTGGTAGAACTTGATGTCTCTCGTAATGGTGAGAAGAGAGAACCACTGCTCTAAACACTGTTGGAAGGATCTTCAGCCCCACCAAATAAACTCACATTGATTCAACCTCTGGTGCTATGAATGAACAGACAATTTAAAACTGCTGATATTTTGATAACAATCAATCAAATGTATTTATAAAGCCCTTTTTACGTCAGCTGATGTCACAAAGTGCTATACAGAAACCCAGCCTAAAACCCCAAACAGCCTGCAATGCAGATGTAGAAGCACAGTGGCTAGGAAAAACTCCCTAGAAATGCAGGAACCTAGGAAGCAACCTAGACCTTGGTTGTAAGATGTTATTACTATGATAGGCCTATATGTTAGAAAATGCAGCGAGTAAGTGCTAGACGAGCAATATAAGTAGCTCAAACCACCAGTCATGGTCAGCACTATCCATTCCCTCGACTTCACTGTACACGCCCAACATATTCTCAGAGCCATAATGGTGTGGTTTCTCCCATAACGTCTGGACTAAACGGGTTAACATTCCTCAAAGCTGCCATCACAGAGCTTCCCAGCAGGACCAAATCCAGAATGCTAATTATGTTGTTCAAATGGCAGTTTCACATGCAACTCCATGTTTGGCGCAACAACCAGGATAATTTAGGGGCGATTCAAATTATTCTAAACAGACGTTTCTCCTTTATGGATGTTTTATGTCTATCTATTAACATTGTCTGGATCAGTAGCTTTAAGTGGAATGTCTAGTTGGATGGATGTTCTGAACTATGTTGTAATCTTGACCGAGGGACGGTATAGTTGATCATTTTATAGTTTGGTCAAGAAAGGTTAGGCCTGGCTTCATTTTATGTCCAACGTTTATTGTATATTTTTTCTCTATACCATTTACAGTGTGTGTTGATCAAGATGTATCTAACATGTATTTCTTTTCATCCCTCATATAGACATCATGGAAATTCCAGAGAGCATTTCTTACTGTAAAGCTCTCCAAGTAGCAGACTTTAGTGGAAACCCATTAACAAGGTAACTGTACTTTGAATTCATGTTGCCATAAATGTTTAGCAAATGGGAGTGATAACAAAAATACATACCGTAGCAACACAGTAGTGTAGCAGCACTATAGTAGGTTATATCTAGGAACTTTGCATGACAAATTCAACATAGAGAAAGAGTCGTTCGAACACAAGCAGAACACGAACTATACTGAGAGGAAAATGGAGTAACTTTTATAAAGGTATTTTCAGACAGGATTTCTTTTTTGCTCGAACTGTAATCTGATGGACCCGTTTTAGTGACAATTTCATTGATGGCATTGAAGAACTACAGTATTAGATCTGCTGTATTTAACAGGTAATTTATGCTAATGAATATTGTATGGGATATTTTTTGCCACAGTTTGCCTGTTAGCTGTCTCATGGTGAGGTCTGTGTAGTTTGCACCCTAGTGGAGGCAAATCCACAATGCCATATGGTTCAGTTCGGGACTGGCCCTGCATTGGGATGTGCGATTCACCTACCTAATACACATAGCCTGACATTTCACATTCTTAAAATAAAGTGGTGATCCTAACTGACCTAAGACAGGGAAGTTTTACTAGGATTAAATGTCAGGAATTGTGAAAAACTGAGTTTAAACGTATTTGGCTAAGGTGTATGTAAACTTCCGACTTCAACTGTGTGTGTATGTATATATCTCAGCAAAAAAAGAAACGTCCTCTCACTGTCAACTGCATTTATTTTCAGCAAACTTAACGTGCAAATAATTGTATGAACATAACAAGATTCAACAACTGAGACAAACCGAACAAGTTCCACAGACATGTGACTAACAGAAATGGAATAATATGTCCCTGAACAAAGGGGGGTGTCAAAATCAAAAGTAACAGTCAGTATCTGGTGTGGCCACCAGCTGAATTAAATACTGCAGTGCATCTCCTCCTCATTGACTGCACCAGATTTGCCAGTTCTTGCTGTGAGATGTTACCCCACTCTTCCACCAAGGCACCTGCAAGTTCCTGGACATTTCTGAGGGGAATGTCCCTAGCCCTCACCCTCCGATCCAACAGGTCCCAGACGTGCTCAATGGGATTGAGATCCGGGCTCTTCGCTGGCCATGGCAGAACACTGACATTCCTGTCTTGCAGGAAATCACGCACAGAATGAGCAGTATGGCTGGTGGCATTGTCATGCTGGAGGGTCATGTCATGATGAGCCTGCAGGAAGGGTACCACATGAGGGAGGAGGATGTCTTCCCTGTAACGCACAGCGTTGAGATTGCCTGCAATGACAACAAGCTCAGTCCGATGATGCTGTGACACTCCGCCCCAGACCATGACGGACCCTCCACCTCCAAATCGATCCCGCTCCAGAGTACAGGCCTCGGTGTAGCGCTCATTCCTTTGACGATAAACGCGAATCCGACCATCACCCCTGGTAAGACAAAACCGCGACTCGTCAGTGAAGAGCACTTTTTGCCAGTCCTGTCTTGTCCAGCGATGGTGGGTTTGTGCCCATAGGCGACGTTGTTGCCGGTGATGTCTGGTGAGGACCTGCCTTACAACAGGCCAACAAGCCTTCAGTCCAGCCTCTCTCAGCCTATTGCAGACAGTCTGAGCACTGATGGAGGGATTGTGCATTCCTGGTGTAACTCGGGCAGTTGTTGTTGCCATCTTGTACCTGTCCCGCAGGTGTGATGTTCGGATGTACCGATCCTGTGCAGGTGTTGTTACATGTGGTCTTCCACTGCGAGGACGATCAGCTGTCCATCCTGTCTCCCTGTAGCGCTGTCTTAGGCATCTCACAGTACGGACATTGCAATTTATTGCCCTGGCCACATCTGCAGGCCTTAAGCCTCCTTGCAGCATGCCTAAGGCACGTTCAGGCAGATAAGCAGGGACCCTGGGCATCTTTCTTAAGGTGTTTTTCAGAGTCAGTAGAAAGGCCTAAGTTTTAATAACTGACCTACCGTCTGGAAGCTGTTAGTGTCTTAACGACCGTTCCACAGGTGCATGTTCATTAATTGTTTATGGTTCATTGAACAAGCATGAGAAACAGTGTTTAAACCCTTTACAATGAAGATCTGTGAAGTTATTTGGATTTTTACGAATTATCTTTGAAAGACAGGATCCTGAAAAAGAGACGTTTCTTTTTTTGCTGTGTTTATATATACATACAGTGGGGGAAAAAAGTATTTAGTCAGCCACCAATTGTGCAAGTTCTCCCACTTAAAAAGATGAGAGAGGCCTGTAATTTTCATCATAGGTACACGTCAACTATGACAGACAAAATGAGAAAAGAAAATCCAGAAAATCTCATTGTAGGATTTTTCAAGAATTTATTTGCAAATTATGGTGGAAAATAAGTATTTGGTCAATAACAGAAGTTTCTCAATACTTTGTTATATACCCTTTGTTGGCAATGACACAGGTCAAACGTTTTCTGTAAGTCTTCACAAGGTTTTCACACACTGTTGCTGGTATTTTGGCCCATTCCTCCATGCAGATCTCCTCTAGAGCAGTGATGTTTTGGGGCTGTCGCTGGGCAACACGGACTTTCAACTCCCTCCAAAGATTTTCTATGGGGTTGAGATCTGGAGACTGGCTAGGCCACTCCAGGACCTTGAAATGCTTCTTACGAAGCCACTCCTTCGTTGCCCGGGCGGTGTGTTTGGGATCATTGTCATGCTGAAAGACCCAGCCACGTTTCATCTTCAATGCCCTTGCTGATGGAAGGAGGTTTTCACTCAAAATCTCACGATACATGGCCCCATTCATTCTTTCCTTTACACGGATCAGTCGTCCTGGTCCCTTTGCAGAAAAACAGCCCCAAAGCATGATGTTTCCACCCCCATGCTTCACAGTAGGTATGGTGTTCTTTGGATGCAACTCAGCATTCTTTGTCCTCCAAACACGACGAGTTGAGTTTTTACCAAAAAGTTCTATTTTGGTTTCATCTGACCATATGACATTCTCCCAATCCTCTTCTGGATCATCCAAATGCACTCTAGCAAACTTCAGACAGGCCTGGACATGTACTGGCTTAAGCAGGGGGACACGTCTGGCACTGCAGGATTTGAGTCCCTGGCGGCGTAGTGTGTTACTGATGGTAGGCTTTGTTACTTTGGTCCCAGCTCTCTGCAGGTCATTCACTAGGTGTGGTTCTGGGATTTTTGCTCACCGTTCTTGTGATCATTTTGACCCCACGGGGTGAGATCTTGCGTGGAGCCCCAGATCGAGGGAGATTATCAGTGGTCTTGTATGTCTTCCATTTCCTAATAATTGCTCCCACAGTTGATTTCTTCAAACCAAGCTGCTTACCTATTGCAGATTCAGTCTTCCCAGCCTGCAGGTCTACAATTTTGTTTCTGGTGTCCTTTGACAGCTCTTTGGTCTTGGCCATAGTGGAGTTTGGAGTGTGACTGTTTGAAGTTGTGGACAGGTGTCCTTTATACTGATAACAAGTTCAAACAGGTGCCATTAATACAGGTAACGAGTGGAGGACAGAGGAGCCTCTTAAAGAAGAAGTTACAGGTCTGTGAGAGCCAGAAATCTTGCTTGTTTGTAGGTGACCAAATACTTATTTTCCACCATAATTTGCAAATAAATTCATTAAAAATCCTACAATGTGATTTTCTGGATTTTTTTTTCTTAATTTGTCTGTCATAGTTGACGTGTACCTATGATGAAAATTACAGGCCTCTCTCATCTTTTTAAGTGGGAGAACTTGCACAATTGGTGGCTGACTAAATACTTTTTTCCCCCCACTGTATATAAAAACAGAAATAATATGTACATAATTTTTCAGACTCTTTACTCAGTACTCTGTTGAAGCACCTTTGGCAGCGATTACAGCCTTGAGTCTTCTTGTGTATGACGCTACAAGCTTGGCACACCTGTATTTGGGCAGTTTCTTCCATTCTTCTCTGCAAATCCTCTCAAGCTCTGTGTTCGATCGGGTTCTAGTCCGGGCTCTGGCTGGGCCACCCAAGGACATTCAGAGACTTGTCCCGTAGCCGCTGCTGCGTTGTCTTGGCTTTGTGCTTAGGGTCGTTGTCCTGTTGGAAGGTGAATCTTCGCCCCTGTCTGAGGTCCTGAGCGCTCTGGAGCAGGTTTTCATCAAGGATTTCTCTGTACTTTGCTCAGTTCATTTTTCCCTCGATCCTGACTCGTCTCCCAGTTCCTGCCACTGAAAAACATCTCCACATTATGATGCTGCCACCACCATGCTTCACCGTAGGGATGCTGCCAGGTTTCCTCCAGGCGTGCGTCTTGGCATTCAGGTCAAAGAGTTCAATCTTGGGTTCATCAGTCCGGAGAATCATGTTTCTCATGGTCTGAGAGTCCTTTAGGTGCCTTTTGGCAAACTCCAAGCGAGCTGTCATGTGCTTTTTACTGAGGAGTGGCTTCCGTCTGGCCACTCTACCATAAAGGCCTGATTGGTGAAATACTGCAGTATATGGTTGTCCTTCTGAAAGGTTCTCCCATCTCCACGGTCTGAATACTTTATGAATGCACTGTCAAAAAATTGAAAGAAAAAGTTAGTTCCTGTTGATAGAGGAAACTTTCCTGTCAAAGAGGAAAGTAGTAGGCCTGTATTAGCTTTATAGTATATTTTATGGTATTCTTATTGCCTATTAATGCAGTCGCATCCATTGATTTTCAGGAATCTGCCACCATTTGTCAGCTGCAAAGATCTTATTTGATTTGAATTCCTCTCTTGTTTTTGCAGATTGCCTGAGAGTTTTCCAGAGCTCCAGAATTTAACATGCCTTTCCATCAATGACATTTCGTTGCAGGCTCTTCCCGAAAACATTGGAAAGTAAGTGCTCCTTTCTGTCATAAAAAAATAAATACAAATTGCTTCATAGTCCTTTCATAGAGAAACATATTTTATTGGTTGGAATTTAGTTCTCACTTCTGTGCTTTTAGATGTTGATATGGGCTGTGACTTTGAACAGAAAAAAATAAGAAATAAGAAATTATATGCTACTGTCGGTCATATTTCTTAGTCACAGGTGGTTATGAAACGGCTTCCTGTTTTTAAGGTCTGAACAATGTAATGACATACTGTGACTACAAATTGTCTATCACTGACATTTTTGGGAGTCACTGGCACTCCGTCACACCCTCCTTCAATTGACGTGGTTTGGAGCTGTGTGTGTTTCCATGACAACATATTTTAATAAATACTGTGTAATATCTTTTGGTAATTTTATGACGATCCAGTGTATTATTTCACAAAGGGACAAGAATGGTGTTATTGGATTTATGGCAAATAAACTTACATGAGTAGTTGTATCAGTAAGTGCTGCTGCTTTCCTGTCCCCCTCTATCCCCAGAAGACCCTGTAATTTCCTGTGTAATTTCCTCCAGCCTGCCACGTTCCCTTACGTTTCACTTGCAAAAGAATGCTAGCCCTCTCTCCCTTCAAATAACTCTGTAATATTTCATGCAGTTATCATGCAGGAGACTGTAGGTTGACTACAGTCTACATACAGCAGCTACAGTCATAATCTCCCTTAAGGCTCCTACTAGGATTTATCATCCTCAGATGAAGAACTAATATTATACAACACCTCCAACACTCACCGGCCTTATATCATTCTATGCTCGTTGACAGGCCCCTTTTGTGTTATGCACAACACAGCAATATATTTTGAATTAAGGAACACTTGAAGAATTTAACTAGTGTAAAACTAAACAGGGCTCTGTTTTGACTTGACATTTTGCTGTAAATTAGGGATTACCTTACATGGTTAATGTAAAGATGGTGTTTTGCGGAATGATTCAGCTGTGTTTTTCTCTCTCTCTCAGTGATAGGTAGGTCTAGATTATAGACTTTGAGTAATGTTACTTATTGTGCTCAGCTCAATTAAGTAATATTAAAGCTGCGTTGATCTGTGAGTTACCATGGTGACCTAGTAAGAGCTCTGTGACAGTTGGTGAAGATATGAGAAGACAGACCTACTCGTGCATAAATGCACAGCATTAGGCCAGATATTGATTGTTCATCCATCCATTCACTCACTCTCTCGTCTAGCTGTGGAGGGCTGAAATACTGTCACACAAATGGTGTGGGCTTAATGGATTTGTAGAAAAAATAAAACTTTTTTTACACCTCTGTTCATCTCTAGTTAATCTCTCGTGGACAGACGCACGTAACATAAATGGTATCGTAGCGTCTGTCAACAACTTTGTTCCGGTGTGCAGATATTTCGTCACTGATCATTTGAACAAATCACTATTTCGTATCTTTCAACTTTTCGAAGGGGAGGTGACATTTGGCCCATATACTTGCCTGTAACTTCAGAGAGAGAGGGGTGGAGCTACCGCCCTGCTTCTGCTTTTCAACACATCTGCCCCCAGAATTTAATCGAGCATCTGACACAATTACACAAGATTTTAGTACTAGGTTTCAAAAATTACACCTCTGTTGTCGATGCCAATATTGATTATCGATGTTGCCCTCTAACTCCTCACTGGATACCACCGAGACACTACTGTAGTAGCTACATTTGTAATCCACGCTGGAAATCATTCAGCATTGATATACCATATCAGTGTTGCTGCACTTGAGCCTGTACACAATTGACCTTTGCTCCTGCATTCACAGTAAATATGACAGGCCAGATGGATTCTGTCATATCTCTTTATTTGATTTCTTCTGGATCTGACTCCCATGCAGAGTAGGGTGATTTACAGGGCTCAGGGGTGACAGATCACAGTTATTATCAGAGCCATCTCCTCTACCTCCCAATGTACGGCATAGGCCTCTACCGCCGCCAAAGGCATGTGTGCTATATCTGGCTTTCACAACTCAATGAGTTAGGGCATGTGAGTATCTGCCCTCCCAATTAGGGGAGTTAATGACAGCACTATAACACGGTTGAAAAAAGATGCCTCTACACTGATCAAGACACACACCCATCACCTAGTGAGTATAAGTGGATAGTCTGACATTCATGTTGCCAAAGTACATGCACCGTTATTCTTTTCATATAACTTCTGAGATTTCAATCGTAGCATTGTCTACCAGTGTGCTGCAGAGATGGTTGTCCTCCTTCCATTTAAGAATGATGGAGACCACTGTGTTCTTGGGGACCTTCAATGCTGCAGACATTTTTTGGTACCCTTCCCCAGATCTGTGCCTCAACACAATCCTGCCTCGGAGCTCTACAGACAATTCCTTTGACCTCATGGCTTGGTTTTGCTCTGACATGCACTCTCAATTGTGGGACCTTATATAGACAGGTGTGTGCCTTTCCAATTAATGTCAAATCAATTGAATTTACCACAGGTGGACTCCATGAAGTTATAGAAGCATCTCAAGGATGATCAATGGAAACAGGATGTACCTGAGCTCAATTTCGAGTCTCATAGCAAAGGGTCTGAATACTTATGTAAATAAGGTATTCCTGTTTTTTTATTTTTTATACATTTGCAAACATTTCTAAAAACCTGTTTTAGCTTTGTCATTATGGGGTATTGTATGTAGATTGATTGAGGATTTATTTATTTTTAATCCATTTTAGAATAAGGCTGTAACAAAATGTGGAAAAAGTCAAGGTGTCTGATTACTTTCCGAATGCACTATATATATACACTACCATTCAAAAGTTTTAGAACACCAACTGATTCAAGTTTTATTTTTTATTTTTACTATTTTCTACATTGTAGAATAATAGTGAAGACATCAAAACTATAAAATAACACATATGGAATAATTTAGTAACCAAAGAAGTGTTAAACAAATGACAATATATTTTATATTTGAGATTCTTCAAATTGCCACCCTTTGCCTTGATGACAGCTTTGCACACTTTTGGCAATCTCTCAACCAGCTTCACCTGGAATGCTTTTCCAAGAGTCTTGAAGGAGTTCCCACATATGCTGAGCACTCGTTGGCTGCTTTTCCTTCACTCTGCGGTCCGACTCATCCCAAACCATCTCAATTTGATTGAGGTCGGGGGATTGTGGAGGCCAGGTCATCTGATGCAGCACTCCATCACTCTCCTTCTTGGTCAAATAGTCACAAAGACACTGCGGTTGGAACCAAAATCTCCAATTTGGACTCCAGACCAAAGGTAAAATTTCAACCGCACTTGAAACTTTCAAAGTTCTTGAAATGTTCCGTATTGACTGACCTTCATGTCTTAAAGTAATGATGGACTGTCGTTTCTCTTTGCTTATTTGAGCTGTTCTTGCCATAATATGGACTTGGTCTTTTACCAAGTAGGGATTTCTTCTGTATACCCCCCTACCTTGTCACAACACAACTGATTGGCTCAAATGCATTAAGAATGAAATAAATTCCACATTCATTTTTGAGAAGGCACACCTGTTCATTGAAATGCATTCCAGGTGACTACCTCATGAAGCTGGTTGAGAGAATGCCAAGAGTGTGCAATGCTGCCATCAAGGCAAAGGGTGGCAATTTGAAGAATCTCAAATATAAAATATATTTTTATTTGTTTTACATCTTTTGGGTTACTACATGATTCCATATGTGTTATTTCATAGTTTTGATGTCTTCACTATTATTCTACAATGTAGAAAATAGTACAAATAAAGAAAAACCCTTGAATGAATAGGTGTTCTAAAACTTTTGACCGGTAGTGTATATATGTTTACTTTTTGTGCCATTGGATTTGCAATAACCCACGATTTGATTTTAGGCTTTAATGTTCCAGTCCAGATGATTTTGAGATTCCTCTGCTCCTCATTTAACTGATTCAGTTAGGCCTATAGTTCACCACTGATGTCCAAGCCATATCTTCTGAGACTTGTAGGAGTGAGTAGCATCACTTTGCCACCGACCGTCATTAGATGGAAGCAAATATACCTTGGCAAGAAATGTCTAGTTACAGATTGTGCATAACAATTTATTTTCATCAGAGCTACATAGCTCCCTTACTGCGATTACTAAATAAAACCATTTTCCTTTCTTTTGGGAACAAAGACATTACCTCAAAGCCATGTTGTGGTCCTAAAAGCCTCAATTCTTGGAATTCATCCACTCTGTCCTAGATGGCTTCAATCAGTAATACTCATAAAAAGGACAAATATGTCGTTGCTTTTTTTGTCTAGTATTTTCTGTTGTTCGTGATCATTTGGGGACAATAACAAACTTAACAAACCAAATGGCTCTCTGTCTTTTGCCTTTCTCCACAGCCTCTCCAACTTGGTGTCACTAGAACTCAGAGAGAATCTGCTGACATATTTACCGGAGTAAGTACTTCCCCTGGATAGATACGATATGTTTCAGGGCAAAACATTTATTGAAGGCACAAGACAAGTAGGCCTACTTTATTAGTCCTTGAGAGACAGAAAATCTTATTTTTCTCTGCTCCCAACCCCCCAGACATCTGTGTTCCACAAACGCTCTGATAGTGCCACCCATCCCCCTGAAAAGGGAGGTAAAGAAGTAACGTCTGTGTGGCTACATTACAAGCATGTAACACATTCGGCTGTGGGTAGACCACAGATGAAGCCTTATGTGTTTCACATGTCTTGTGTGTGTGTGTGTACACACGTGTATGTATATGTGTGTAGACTTTAGAGGTGATAGAGAATGCAGTGTACCCTCTATTCAGCCAATGCTCAACTATTATGTTGGCACAACAACAGTCTCCCGCGGAACATCTAACCATCTCACTGCTTGGTATGTGGCCACTACATTTTTACTCGCACGTGGTTAAAATTAAACGGCAGTGAAACAGACCGAGAATGAGAAGCAGATACAATGTGAATCCGTCACTGTATGATGTTTATTTTTTCAAAGCCTAAATGTAATGTTTTTTGACTTTATAACCCCTCTTGTGCATTCCACAGGTCGCTATCGCAACTTCACAGACTTGAAGAACTTGACCTAGGGAACAATGAACTTTACAATTTGGTGAGTTTCTGACTTTGCGAAAATACACTTGATCTCAGTAAAGATGTTGATTTCTTGGAATAACATTCACACTGAAGAAAACGATGTGCAAAACTAATCGTGTGGAATGGGCAGCACTCAAATCTCACTCAACACTTTTCTTGGTATATGAAACATAATTGGGAGTACTGATACAGATGCCTCTTATCATCCTGAAGGGGTAGTGTGACAGGGCCATTGAGTTTTTAAGTTGTAGTCTGTTACAACATAATGTCAGGTTTGATGTTTATGAAAAGTTAACTCCGAGACGGAGACACACTCCCTGAGAGATTTACTGAAACCAGACAAGGCTAGGGAATGACAGTTTACACATGGCTGAAATTCTTCCACAGTCTTGTTTACATTTGCCTCAGTCGTGTATAATTCTCCCTCTCTCACTCTCTCACCCCTTTCCCCTCCCTCCCCCATCTTTCTCGCTTCTCGGTCTCTGTCTCTATTTTCTGCCTCCAATTCTTCCTCCCACACAGCCAGAAACAATAGGCTGTCTTGTCAGCTTAAAGGACTTGTGGCTGGACGGAAACCAGTTGGCTGAAATACCTGCAGTAAGATATTTCTGTAATATTTATACTAATAATTGTCATGTTTTAAGTGCCTTGATATTACTGTTGAACTTGTAGAATATGGTTTGATTCCCCAAAAAGTGAAAGGCTGCCACCCATTTAAAAACTTTCGATGTGCTTAGGCTAAATTAATATTGCGACTTGTGTTGATATAATGCAATCACAAGAGATGCACCATTATCGTTAAGCACTAACACAGACTGGGAAATGTATTTATAATAGAAATGTGTTCAACCTGTAGGAGATGGGCAGCATGAAAAGCCTCCTGTGTCTAGACGTATCAGAGAACAAGCTGGAGCACCTTCCAGAGGAGATGGGCGGCCTGGTCTCCCTTACTGACCTGCTGGTGTCCCAGAACCTCATCGATGCTCTGCCAGAGGGTATAGGTCAGCACGCTGCTGCACTGTACACTACAATACTGTGTATTTTTTAGTTTTACTATCCTTGTTGAGATCAGAAGTCAGAAAAATTTGGACAAGTGGGGACATTTCGCCGGTCCCCACAAGGAAAAAGGCTATTTTAGGCTTAGGGGTTAGGGTTACAATTAGGGTTAGTGGTTAGAGGGGTAAGGTTTTGGGGTTACAGTTAGAGTTAAGGTTAGGTTAAGGGTTAAGGGTTTGGGGTTAGGGTTAAAGTTTGGGTTAGGTTAAGGTTGGGGAAAATATAATTTTGAATGGGAATCAATTGTTTGGTCCCCACAAGGATAGTAAAATAAATGTGTGAGTGACGTGTGTGCTTCTGTGCATTTGTGTGCACTCATGTGTTTGTACATGTGTATGCTTGCGTGTTTGTGTACATGTTTGTTATTGGTCACTTGTTTTACCATGTCATGGATTGGACCATGCTGAAACTGATTGGGTCAAAGCTGGGATCAATGTAAACTGAGCATAAACAGGAAGTTAATCTGAACAGATTAAACAAAGTACTTTTACCAAAAGAGATTGTGAACCACAAAATAAAGGAGTCCACATTTGGTAACAGAACTGACTTACTAACACAGGTGATGTGCCCCTAGGGCACAATATAACTTTGGATGAATGGAAAATGAAATGTGACAGTCATTAAATCCATATAGCATTATTTGATGTTGTATTGATCTGTGTAATGTCGTTTCATTAGCCATAGGCTCTGGTGTTGGTTGCAAATCAACTAACTTTTTTTACGAATTATATTGATTGCCATGCTATCCTCACTACTCTCATATGTCTGTATCAAAGTATGTAACGCTTTTTTGCTCTGCAGGAAGACTAAGGCGACTGTCGATATTGAAAGCAGACCAGAATCGGCTTGCCCAGCTGCCAGAGAGCATTGGCAATTGTGAGAGTCTCACTGAACTGGTGCTCACAGAGAATCGGCTACAGGTGGGTTTGTGGTTGCGCTGTACTTGCTCATATATACTTAATATTATGAGGGCAGGTTTGAAAAGTAAGACCCAATTTATTTTATTTTATGTAATCGAGATCACAATACACATGGCCGTCTTTTTCAGCCCACGGCCAACTGTTTAATTTGATATGTGCTCACAAGGTCAAAACAGTGTGTCCTCTAACCTATTGTTGTTTTCCACAGTACTAATTACCCAACTCTGATGGCTGCCCTCTTCGGTCCTTGGATAGACCTTGTGACTTACAGTATAGCATGACAAATTGTATTTTTCCTTCTGAAGGGATGCATTCTTATTGTCTTGTAACCTTTGACCTCCATTATATCCTTAGTCTTCACTTCCTAATAGGCTTAAAACATCTAAGTGTGCGCCAGGAACGTATCCTCACTTTACCACTAACCAATCAGATATTTTTATTTCATCCTCACAGTGGGATTGTGCAGGTAATCCCCATGCTCGGGCCACTAGCTGGTCTACTGTCACTGCTATACCCATTACTGTATGTTCGAACTGTAGATGGTTAATGTATTATTTCTTACTTATTGTTTCCCTCTTTAGAGTTTGCCAAGAAGTATTGGAAAACTAAAGAGACTTTCCAACTTCAACTGTGATAGGAACCGATTAGCGTCATTACCAAAAGAGGTATGCTATAGTCTTTCAACATGTAATAGTTTGAAGCAAATGTGAGACTTGTTGATGAATGGTAGGTCCTTTCTGCTTTACAGGGCACCACAGTCCACTACAATAGTGTATTTGTGCCAAGCTGTTATTATCTTAGATGTATCTATTATGTTATTAGGACATGATACTGCTTCCTTTGAGTTTCTTTCTGTGATAAAACAAAAAAAGAAGGAAAAGTGCTTGTTGTATGGCTCAAAGTTTTATTCCATCTCCCGTTGTGATTTTACCATATAGATCACGTTTTGTGATGCAGCAGTGAAGTAGTTCAACTGTACATTGTGATTTACAACCCCGTTCTTGTATTATCTGAATGAGTACAGACTGGATCCAAAAGCAATTTGTTCCCTTGCTGCAGTGAGGCACTTCTTCTGTGGGTACTCTAGAATCAAACCAACTGTCACTTTCTCTAATTGGCAGAACATGCGTTTCCTATCTCTGCTGTAGAAAAGTTTTTTCCCGCCCGTTTCTGTCTTCAATTTAAATCCAGGAAATAAACTGACGATTCTATGCTGTATCATTTAATTCCTTTTAGTTAGGATAGTCCACTCAGTAACAATTGCCACTGTTTTCCAGGGAGTCCTGTATGTGTGAGTGAAGTTGTCTATGTGCATGTAATGCTACAGTGAGGGAAAAAAGTATTTGATCCCCTGCTGATTTTGTACGTTTGCCCACTGACAAAGACATGATATGTCTAATTTTAATGGTAGGTTTATTTGAACAGTGAGAGACAGAATAACAACAACAAAAAATCCAGAAAAATGCATGTCAAAAATGTTATAAATTGATTTGCATTTTAATGAGGGAAATAAGTATTTGACCCCTCTGCAAAACATGACATAGTACTTGGTGGCAAAACCCTTGTTGGTAATCACAGAGGTCAGACGTTTCTTGTAGTTGGCCACCAGGTTTGCACACATCTCATTTTTTACATTTACATTTTAGTCATTTAGCAGACGCTCTTATCCAGAGCGACTTACAATTAGTGAATACATATTTTTTTAATACTGGCCCCCCGTGGGAATCGAACCCACAACCCTGGCGTTGCAAACGCCATGCTCTATCAACTGAGCTACATCCCTGCCGGCCATTCCCTCCCCTACCCTGGACGACGCTGGGCCAATTGTGCGCCGTCCATGAGTCTCCCGGTCGCGGCCGGCTGCGACAGAGCCTGGATTCGAACCAGGATCTCTAGTGGCACAGTTAGCACTGCAAAGCAGTGCCTTAGACCACTGCGCCACTCAGGAGGGATTTTGTCCCACTCCTCTTTGCAGATCTTCTCCAAGTCATTAAGGTTCAGAGGCTGACGTTTGGCAACTCGAACCTTCAGCTCCCTCCACAGATTTTCTATGGGATTAAGGTCTGGAGACTGGCTAGGCCACTCCAGGACCTTAATGTGCTTCTTTTTGAGCCACTCCTTTGTGGCCTTGGCCGTGTGTTTTGGGTCATTGTCATGCTGGAATACCCATCCACGACCCATTTTCAATGCCCTGGCTGAGGAAAGGAGGTTCTCACCCAAGATTTGACGGTACATGGCCCCGTCCATTGTCCCTTTGATGCGGTTAAGTTGTCCTGTCCCCTTAGCAGAAAAACACCCCCAAAGCATAATGTTTCCAACTCCATGTGTGACGGTGGGGATGGTGTTCTTGGGGTCATAGGCAGCATTCCTCCTCCTCCAAATACGGCGAGTTGAGTTGATGCTAAAGAGCTCGATTTTGGTCTCATCTGACCACAACACTTTCACCCAGTTCTCCTCTGAATCATTCAGATGTTCATTGGCAAACTTCAGACGGCCCTGTATATGTTCTTTCTTGAGCAGGGGGACCTTGCGGAAGCTGCAGGATTTCAGTCCTTCACGGCGTAGTGTGTTACCAATTGTTTTCTTGGTGACTATGGTCCCAGCTGCCTTGAGATCATTGACAAGATCCTCCCGTGTAGTTCTGGGCTGATTCCTCACCGTTCTCATGATCATTGCAACTCCACGAGGTGAGATCTTGCATGGTGCCCCAGGCCGAGGGAGATTGACAGTTATTTTGTGTTTCTTCCATTTGCGAATAATCGCACCAACTGTTGTCACCTTCTCACCAAGCTGCTTGGCAATGGTCTTGTAGCCCATTCCAGCCTGGTGTAGGTCTACAATCTTATCCCTGACATCCTTGGAGAGCTCTTTGGTCTTGGCCATGGTGGAGAGTTTGGAATCTGATTGATTGATTGCTTCTGTGGACAGGTGTCTTTTATACAGGTAACAAGCTGAGATTAGGAGCACTCCCTTTAAGAGTGTGCTCCTATCTCAGCTCGTTACCTGTATAAAAGACACCTGGGAGCCAGAAATCTTTCTGATTGAGAGGGGGTCAAATACTTATTTCCCTCATTAAAATGCAAATCAATTTATGACATTTTTGACATGTGTTTTTCTGGATTTTTTTGTTGTTATTCTGTCTCTCACTGTTCAAATAAACCTACCATTAAAATTATAGACTGAACATTTATTTGTCAGTGGGCAAACGTACAAAATCTGCATGGTATCAAATACTTTTTTCCCTCACTGTATGTTAACCATTTTCCCCCAATACTCTTAAGCAAAATGCTTGTGCATGCTCGGTCTGAACATGCTCAGAAAAAGCTAACGTAAACCTTGATCGCATCTCATTTTGCCTCCATGATTTACCCTGCTGCTCGGAAAAATTGATGTAAAATCATAGAAGCCTCAGTCATGAGTAAGTGGAATCCGGTTAGTGCATCCCCCAGTGATCACTGTATGATTTGCATGCAGAGCTTTGCTGGACTAAACCTGACCCTCTCTTATTTTAATGGGTATTGTAAAAAGGCTCATCCTTACACCTGCTAACCAGCAAATCCGGTTTCTGTGCGCTGAATCACATTCAGCGGAAGCGTATGCCACAGTGGTACTATGCAGACTAAGGTCGATTATCATATCGACCTGCCCTGGAGCACTCTCACAGGCACAAAGGCCATCTCCCACTGTGACTGTCTTCACCCAAGACATGGCTGTGCGACTCTTCATTGTGTGTGTGTGACTGACTGTCTATTTATCTGTACAGTAGCATGATTTCAGCTATCTGGCTGTTGGCATGCTATCTTTTGTTTCCAGGGGATTGAAGCACAGACAAAGCAAGCACACACACACTGCCTGTTTTTGTCTGCTTTTTCTATTATCTTCTGCAGTTCTCTAGTGTGTTCAGCACTGGTTTATTGTCCCAGAATGCCTGCTGCGCGTGTGTGTGCGCGTGTGAGAGAGTGAGATACTGTTGTTGATTCTAGCCTCTTGTCTATTAAACCGAAGGCAAGCTCCCTCTGGTTAAAGCCCTTTAGTGGTTATACAATGCCCCTGTGTCTCAGTGTGAGTCCACAGCACTTGGCCCAGATAATGAATTGGTAGTGTCATTGTTTTATTTTCTCTAACCATTAACATTTCTAACAGTAACAATAGTCCTGGTACTAGACAAGTACTTGTTTACAACAATACAGTGGTGTCAGGATGTAGCTATGTTGTTCTTTTTAATTAATAGTCATGACTGATAATTGGCTAAAAGTTTCCAAACCTGATTTTCTTGTGATTTTAAATCCAAACATTCAAGGTAAGATATCTGCTGAACCTTGGCTTATTCCCATTTTAATTGGGAATTTGTTCATATTTGCAATGTACAATTCTACTGAATTTCGTAGACAAACAATGTATCCGGTATTGATGTTTAAGTGTAGGCCCATGCATGCAGTACTTTGTATATTCTACTTCTGAGGTACAGTGCCTTGCAAAAGTATTCATCCCCCTTGACGTTTTTCCTATTTTGTTGCATTACAACCTGTAATTTAAATTTATTTTTATTTGGATTTCATGTAGTGGACATACACAAAATAGTCCAAATTGGTGAAGTGAAATGAGAAAAAAAAACTTGTTTCAGAAAATTCTAAAAAATAAATAACAGAAAAGTGGTGCGTTCATATGTATTCACCCCCTTTGCTATGAAGCCCCTAAATAAGATCTGGTGCAACCAATTACCTTCAGAAGTCACATACATTTTAAAGAAAAGTCCACCTGTGTGCAATCTAAGTGTCACATGATCTGTCACATGATCTCAGTATATATACACCTGTTCTGAAAGGCCCCAGAGTCTGCAACACCACTAAGCAAGGGCACCACCAAGCAAGCGGCGCCATGAAGATCAAGTAGCTCTCCAAACAGGTCAGGAACAAAGTTGTGGATAAGTACAGATCATGGTTGGGTTATAAAAAAATATCAAACTTTGAACATCCCAAGGAGCATTCAATCAATTATTAAAAAATTGAAAGAATATGGCACCACAACAAACCTGCCAAGAGAGGGCCGCCCACCAAAACTCACGGACCAGGCAAGGAGGGCATTAATCAGAGAGGCAACAAAGAGACCAAAGATAACCCTGAATAAGCTGCAAAGCTCCACAGCGGAGATTGGAGTATCTGTTCATAGGACCACTTTAAGCCGTACACTCCACAGAGCTGGGCTTTACGGAAGAGTGGCCAGAAAAAAGCCATTGCTTAAAGAAAAAAAATAAGCAAACACGTTTGGTGTTCGCCAAAAGCCATGTGGGAGACTCCCCAAACAAATGGAAGAAGGTACTCTGGTCAGATGAGACTAAAATTGAGCTTTTTGGCCATCAAGGAAAACGCTATGTCTGGCGCAAACCCAACACCTCTCATCACCCCGAGAACACCATCCCCACAGTGAAGCATGGTGGTGGCAGCATCATGCTGTGGGGATGTTTTTCATTGGCAGGGACTGGGAAACAGGTCAGAATTGAAGGAATGATGGATGGCGCTAAATCCAGGGAAATTATTGAGGGAAACCTGTTTCAGTCTTCCAGAGATTTGAGACTGGGACAGAGGTTCACCTGTCATGGCTAGATGTGCCAAGCTTATCGAGACATACCCCAAGAGACTTGCAGCTGTAATTGCTGCAAAAGGTGGCTCTACAAAGTATTGACTTTAGGGGGGTAGTTATGCACGCTCAAATGTTCTGTTTTTTTGTCTTATTTCTTGTTTGTTTCACAAGAAAAATTATTTTGCATCTTCAAAGTGGTAGGCATGTTGTGTGAATCAAATGATACAACCCCCCCAAAAATCCCTTTTAATTCCAGGTTGTAAGGCAACAAAATAGGAAAAATGCCGGGGGGGTGGGGGTGAATACTTTCACAAGCCACTGTAGGCTGGACTTTGAGAACCTGTGTGTAGCCTACTAACTGTAATTCCTGCGGATATTTGGACTCCTCTGCTAAGCACCTCTTTAAGTCAATCTTATTTACTCCAGTGAGGGCATCAGCTTAGCTAGATCCTTTTAACTTGATGAGACTCCATTACTGTATTTGGTCCCTGTTCTGGTCTGTCTGGCCGCTGGCTGATGGTAGATTACAGTCTGACAACAGCACTTTAGCTGGCCCATCCGGTCCCTACTTTAACACATTACTAATTGCAGCTAATTTTAGCTCCTACTCTGCCAAACTCCATAGCCCAATTCCATCAAGATGCCCAATTCTGTGGCAAAGCTCCCAAATGCTCTAAATGGTTTACCTATCCATGCCCATTATGCTAAATAGAGTTTGGAACAATTAAGGTGTTTTTATAAACATGAATTCATTTTCTGTGATTTAGAAACTTTACTTTTGATTATATTTTTTATGTGAACTGTTCTAACCAAAGCTTTTCCCCTCTATTCATCACTGCTCAAGATGTTTGTTGCCTCAAAGAACACGGAACAACTTCTCTGTTCGTATATATGTAATTGTGTGCTTGTGTGATAACTTAAACTCTAAAGACACTGTTTTGTCTTATTTGTATGCCTTTCTTCCCAAATCCAGATTGGCGGATGCAGTAGCCTGAATGTCTTCTGTGTACGAGGGAACAGGCTGACAAAGATTCCCTCTGAGATCTCTCAGGCCACAGAACTGCATGTGTTTGATGTGTCTGGAAATAGGTAGGCTATATGTGACTGACCTCCTCCATTCGGTCTTAGTGGGGAAAAAAAGTATTTAGTCAGCCACCAATTGTGCAAGTTCTCCCACTTAAAAAGATGAGAGGCCTGTAATTTTCATCATAGGTACACGTCAACTATGACAGACAAAATGAGGAAAAAAAATCCAGAAAATCACATTGTAGGATTTTTAATGAATTTATTTGCAAATGATGGTGGAAAATAAGTATTTGGTCAATAACAAAAGTTTCTCAATACTTTGTTATATACCCTTTGTTGGCAATGACACAGGTCAAACGTTTTCTGTAAGTCTTCACAAGGTTTTCACACACTGTTGCTGGTATTTTGGCCCATTCCTCCATGCAGATCTCCTCTAGAGCAGTGATGTTTTGGGGCTGTCGCTGGGCAACACAGACTTTCAACTCCCTCCAAAGATTTTCTATGGGGTTGAGATCTGGAGACTGGCTAGGCCACTCCAGGACCTTGAAATGCTTCTTACGAAGCCACTCCTTCGTTGCCCGGGCGGTGTGTTTGGGATCATTGTCATGCTGAAAGACCCAGCCACGTTTCATCTTCAATGCCCTTGCTGATGGAAGGAGGTTTTCACTCAAAATATCACGATACATGGCCCCATTCATTCTTTCCTTTACACGGATCAGTCGTCCTGGTCCCTTTGCAGAAAAACAGCCCCAAAGCATGATGTTTCCACCCCCATGTTTCACAGTAGGTATGGTGTTCTTTGGATGCAACTCAGCATTCTTTGTCCTCCAAACACGACGAGTTGAGTTTTTACCAAAAAGTTATATTTTGGTTTCATCTGACCATATGAAAATTCTCCCAATCCTCTTCTGGATCATCCAAATGCACTCTAGCAAACTTCAGACGGGCCTGGACATGTACTGGCTTAAGCAGGGGGACACGTCTGGCACTGCAGGATTTGAGTCCCTGGCGGCGTAGTGTGTTACTGATGGTAGGCTTTGTTACTTTGGTCCCAGCTCTCTGCAGGTCATTCACTAGGTCCCCCCGTGTGGTTCTGGGATTTTTGCTCACCGTTCTTGTGATCATTTTGACCCCACGGGGTGAGATCTTGCGTGGAGCCCCAGATCTAGGGAGATTATCAGTGGTCTTGTATGTCTTCCATTTCCTAATAATTGCTCCCACAGTTGATTTCTTCAAACCAAGCTGCTTACCTATTGCAGATTCAGTCTTCCCAGCCTGGTGCAGGTCTACAATTTTGTTTCTGGTGTCATTTGACAGCTCTTTTGTCTTGGCCATAGTGGAGTTTGGAGTGTGACTGTTTGAGGTTGTGGACAGGTGTCTTTTATACTGATAACAAGTTCAAACAGGTGCCATTAATACAGGTAACGAGTGGAGGACAGAGGAGCCTCTTAAATAAGAAGTTACAGGTCTGTGAGAGCCAGAAATCTTGCTTGTTTGTAGGTGACCAAATACTTATTTTCCACCATAATTTGCAAATAAATTCATTAAAAATCCTACAATGTGATTTTCTGGATTTTTCTCTTCTCAATTTGTCTGTCATAGTTGACGTGTACCTATGATGAAAATGACAGGCCTCTCTCATCTTTTTAAGTGGGAGAACTTGCACAATTGGTGGCTGACTAAATACTTGTTTTCCCCACTGTATGTAGCAACATTTGAAATTGTGTTTTTTTACATTGGATAAAAGTACAGACTCAGAGCTATACAATTGTATATCATACACTGCAGTTCAGGAACAATGGGAAAGTAATTCTGCTTTGAAAGTTGATAAACTTGTAACCCCACTTTTGAGAAAATGGCCCTCGAATGTTTTGATACACCTACTGGATAGCTCTTCTTTGTCTACACTCATTCAGCGTCGTTCACACCCTCTTAAGCCTAATCCCACCCACCACTTTAAGGATTCACATTTGAGGCCATGTGGTGAACACACACTACATCAAATAAAATATAAGTTTATGTGTCACATGCACAGGACACAGAAGGTGTAAACGACAGTGATAGTACTTGCATAGTAGCAATATCAAAAACAGAAAGTGTCCAGATAAAAATATATTTTTGTTATTAGATGATGCTTAGCCGACACACTTGTCTACATTGATGGGTCATGTGAAGGAAATGCTATAACCACCCCTCATCCACATCTAGCTAAGTGGATGGGTCACTATTGTCTAGACATTGTACACATGTTCATGAAATACAATCGATGGCTGTAATCACCCCCAGACACACCTGCTAATTTGATGGGTCATGCAATAATCCAGTCGAAGTGGAGTCTTTTTTTTTTGTTTAAACATGTAGCTAGCTAGGTAGCTAGCAAGCTAAATAATGAACCGACATAACCCCAACTCGTACTACTACCAATACAAACATTGTCATAGCTGTAGGATGAATCTGCAGGTAGTTAAAGCTAACAAACTAGGTTCAATGTTAGCTAGCTAACATTAGGCTATAACTAGCAATGCAAATGGTTTTCTGATTCCAATAATATCAATACACCGATCATACACGTAATGTTAGCTAGTGTGCGTGCAAGCTAACGTTTGCTAGCTAACTAACAGTACGCTTTAACTTGCAATAAAAAAAAAATTGTGACAGAATTGGAAACGTATATCTGGAAAATGTAGCTAGACTCTTACCCGTATACATGGATGAACGCTTCACGGCTGACTGGAACCATTTAACTCAGTTTTGTTTGTAGCTACATCTTGTTTGGCCAGCTTTGTGTCAAGTCACTCCGGTTCACACTGACCGTGGCGGGTGCAGAAAGTAGCCAATCACATTTCCCTACTGATCTGTCGATAGCGCCTGCTAAATTCAGGGCATCAATGTTGTTGAGAAAAGTAGCAAAACTTTTGTAGTTCTCGATGGCTAACGTTATATCTTTCAAAAACGGCACGGTAGTAAAGACTGTCAACACATACTGAACAGCTCATGTTATAGACAGAAGCGTGCAACATGGCAGTTCAATCCAAACTCATCTACTGGGATGTCCAGCCCATACATTATCTCAGCGAATCATGGCTAGTGGGATGGGTAAAGTTCACATGTTCCAGAATACATTTCTGCCCAAAAACGTGTTTTGATAAAAAATAAATGTTTACGTTCAAATGCTGCTCCTGTGAAGTAGTGATGTGCGACATACGCCTAGTTTCCTGAAACGAGTCACATATTAAAATTCAATTACAGTGCGGAAAAAAAGTATTTAGTCAGCCACCTATTGTGCAAGTTCTCCCACTTAAAAAGATGAGAGAGGCCTGTAATTTTCATCATAGGTACACGTCAACTATGACAGACAAATTGAGATTTTTTTTCTCCAGAAAATCACATTGTAGGATTTTTAATGAATTTATTTGCAAATTATGGTGGAAAATAAGTATTTGGTCACCTACAAACAAGCAAGATTTCTGGCTCTCACAGACCTGTAACTTCTTCTTTAAGAGGCTCCTCTGTCCTCCACTCGTTACCTGTATTAATGGCACCTGTTTGAACTTGTTATCAGTATAAAAGACACCTGTCCACAACCTCAAACAGTCACACTCCAAACTCCACTATGGCCAAGACCAAAGAGCTGTCAAAGGACACCAGAAACAAAATTGTAGACCTGCACCAGGCTGGGAATCTGCAATAGGTAAGCAGCTTGGTTTGAAGAAATCAACTGTGGGAGCAATTTTAGGAAATGGAAGACATGCAAGACCACTGATAATCTCCCTCGATCTGGGGCTCAACGCAAGATCTCACCCCTTTGGGTCAAAATGATCACAAGAACGGTGAGCAAAAATCCCAGAACCACACGGGGGGACCTAGTGAATGACCTGCAGAGAGCTGGGACCAAAGTAACAAAGCCTACCATCAGTAACACACTACGCCGCCAGGGACTCAAATCCTGCAGTGCCAGACGTGTCCCCCTGCTTAAGCCAGTACATGTCCAGGCCCGTCTGAAGTTTGCTAGAGTGCATTTGGATGATCCAGAAGAGGATTGGGAGAATTTTCATATGGTCAGATGAAACCAAAATATAACTTTTTGGTAAAAACTCAACTCGTCGTGTTTGTAGGACAAAGAATGCTGAGTTGCATCCAAAGAACACCATACCTACTGTGAAGCATGGGGGTGGAAACATCATGCTTTGGGGCTGTTTTTCTGCAAAGGGACCAGGACGACTGATCCGTGTAAAGGAAAGAATGAATGGGGCCATGTATCGTGAGATTTTGAGTGAAAACCTCCTTCCATCAGCAAGGGCATTGAAGATGAATCGTGGCTGGGTCTTTCAGCATGACAATGATCCCAAACACACCGCCCGGGCAACGAAGGAGTGGCTTCGTAAGAAGCATTTCAAGGTCCTGGAGTGGCCTAGCCAGTCTCCAGATCTCAACCCCATAGAAAATCTTTGGAGGGAGTTGAAAGTCTGTGTTGCCCAGCGACAGCCCCAAAACATCACTGCTCTAGAGGAGATCTGCATGGAGGAATGGGCCAAAATACCAGCAACAGTGTGTGAAAACCTTGTGAAGACTTACAGAAAACGTTTGACCTGTGTCATTGCCAACAAAGGATATATAACAAAGTATTGAGAAACTTTTGTTATTGACAAAATACTTATTTTCCACCATAATTTGCAAATAAATTCATAAAAAATCCTACAATGTGATTTTCTGGAATTTTCTTTCTCATTTTGTCTGTCATAGTTGACGTGTACCTATGATGAAAATTACAGGCCTCTCTCATCTTTTTAAGTGGGAGAACTTGCACAATTGGTGGCTGACTAAATACTTTTTTCCCCCACTGTAAATGTGTCTTTATTAACCTTTGATCATATACACATTATATCATATACATTATTTACATTATTATACCCCAGATCCAGTAACGCTTTTATATGTGGTCCTCTGTAGCTCAATTGGTAGATCATGGCACTTGTAACGCCAGGGTAGTGGGTTCGATCCCCGGGACCACCCTTACGTAAAAATGTATGCGCACATGACTGTAAGTCGCTTTGGATAAAAGCGTCTGCTAAATGGCATATTTTTTAAATTTATTTTTATGTGACAGGTGCTCACTTGTAGCAAAGTAAGTCATAATATTTGACACCAACATAAACTCCTTCTGAGCTGTCCACAAATCAATAAGGTTCACAAAATATTCTCTGAAGCCTTTCAATAACACGGTATCATCTCTCTCCAGACTACTCCACCTACCCATATCTCTGACCACGCTGCGACTCAAGGCCCTGTGGCTGTCAGAGAACCAGTCCCAGCCTCTACTCACCTTCCAGAATGACATGGACCCAGAGTCGGGGGAAAAGGTGCTCACCTGTGTTCTCCTGCCCCAGCAGCCTTCAGAACCTGACAGTAAAGGTAAGGTCTTCTCATGTGCTATAAACTCAGTGGTCTTGTGGGTAGAGTATCCGCCCTGAAATTGGAAGGTTGGGAGTTCGATCCCCGGCAGGGTCATACCAAAGACTGTAAAAATGTGACCTGATGCGCGTCTCTGCTTGGCACTCGGCATTAAAGGGAAAATTGCGGAATTAGGTTGTTAAACATTCTGATTTGTTTCATTCTTCCAATTAAAAGTCCCAATATGACATATCACTTTAAATTTGTATTTTGGGAGAAATTCATATTTTATATAATTTAACCGGAGTCATGTCGGAAAAATGTTTGAAAAAGTGAACCACTGATCACATAAGACAGTAAAGACCCACATCATATCGAGTCCTCCTATGGTTTTTGCAAAAATAAATTGGCACTCTGAATAAAGCCAACTTATCATCTGACCATATCCTCTGATTTCTTTATTCTGTATCAGCTAAAACAAATTATCACTTTTACAGCACACAGGCTTTTAGCATAGCCCCTTTTAGACCCTTGCTGGCTTACCTCTACTAGCTAACCACTAGCAGCCTTGAAACGTATCACTTATTAGCAGTTCAGAACATCAGCATTTCTTGTACTGTTACACAAAATCAAGATAAGCCTTTACCAGCATTGTAGACATTGAACGCCTATAACCAAACTGGATAAAACTCTGTTGTTGGCTGATGGTAGCTATAGCTAGCCACATGCTAACCTGAGTGCTAAAGTTACTAGCAGCAGTAACAGTAAATCCAGGTATACTGGCCAACACACATTGGCTACCATGATATCCTGCAAGTTACACTACGGGTCAAAAGTTTTAGAACACCTACTCATTCAAGGGTTTTTCTTTACTTTTACTATTTTCTACATTGTAGAATACATTTACATTTACATTTTCGTAATTTAGCAGACGCTCTTATCCAGAGCGACTTACAAATTGGTGCATTCACCTTATGATAGCCAGTGGGATGACCACTTTACAATATATATATATATATTTTTTTTTATAATAATAGTGAAGACATCAAAACTATGAAATAACACATATGGAATCATGTAGTAACCAAAAAAGTGTTAAACAAATCAAAATATATTTAGCCACCCTTTGCCTTGATGACAGCTTTGCACACTTGGCATTCTCTCAACCAGCTTCACCTGGAATGCTTTTCCAAGAGTCTTGAAGGAGTTCCCACATATGCTGAACACTTGTTGGCTGCTTTTCCTTCACTCTGCGGTCCAACTCATCCCAAACCATCTCAATTGGGTTGAGGTCGGGTGTTTGTGGAGGCCAGGTCATCTGATGCAGCACTCCATCACTCTCCTTGGTCAAATAGCCCTTACACAGCCTGGAGGTGTGTTGGGTCATTGTCCTGTTGAAAAACAAATGATAGTCCCACTAAGCCCAATCCAGATGGGATGGCGTATCGCTGCAGAATGCTGTGGTAGCCATGCTGGTTAAGTGTGCCATGAATTCTAAATAAATCACAGACAGTGTCACCAGCAAAAGCACCCCAACACCATCACACCGCCTCCTCCGTGCTTCACGGTGGGAACTACACATGTGGAGATCATCCGTTCACTTACTCTGCGTCTCACAAAGACACGGCGGTTGGAACAAAAAAATCTCAAATTTGGACTCCAGACCAAAGGACAGATTCCCACCAGTCTAATGTCCATTGCTTGTGTTTCTTGGCCCAAGCAAGTCTCTTCTTCTTATTGGTGTCCTTTAGTAGTGGTTTCTTTGCAGCAATTCAACCATGAAGGCCTGATTTACGCAGTCTCCTCTGAACATTCTTTGTTGATGTGTCTGTTACTTAAACTCTTAAGCATTTATTTGGGCTCCAATCTGAGGTGCAGTTAACTCTAATTAACTTATCCTCTGCAGCAGATGTAACTCTGCATCTTCCTTTCCTGTGGTGGTCCTCATGAGAGCCAGTTTCATCATAGTGCTTGATGATTTTTGCAACTGCACTTGAAGAAACTTTCAAAGTTCTTGAAATTGTCCGTATTGACTGATCTTCATGTCTTAAATTAAGGATGGACTGTCGTTTCTCTTTGCTTATTTGAGCTGTTCTTGCCATAATATGGGACTTGGTCTTTTATCAAATAGGGCTATCTTCTGTATACCACCCCTACCTTGTCACAACACAACTGATTGGCTCAAATGCATTAAGAAGGAAAGAAATTCCACAAATTAACTTTTAAGAAGGCACACCTGTTAATTGAAATGCATTTCAGGTGACTACCTCATGAAGCTGGTTGAGAGAATGCCAAGAGTGTGCAAAGCTGTCATCAAAGCAAAGGATGGCTATTTGAAGAATATCAAATATCAAATATATTTTGATTTGTTTAACACTTTTTTGGTTATTACATTATTCCATGTGTTATTTCATAGTTTAATGTCTTCACTATTATTCTACAATGTAGAAAATAGTAAAAATAAAGAAAAACCCTTGAATGAGTAGGTGTCCAAACTTTTGACTGGTACTGTATATACAGTGCATTCGGAAAGTATTCAGACCCCTTGACTTTTTCCACATTTTGTTATGTTACGGCCTTATTCTAAAATGGAAAAAAATCAATAACAGATACCTTATTTACATAAGTATTCAGACCCTTTGCTATGAGACTCAATTGAGCTCAGGTGCATCCTGTTTCCATTGATCATCCTTAAGATGTTTCTACAACTTGATTGGAGTCCACCTGTGGTAAATTCAATTGATTGGACATGATCTGGAAAGGCACACACCTGTCTATATAAGGTCCCACAGTTGACAGTGCATGTCAGAGCAAAAACTAAGCCATGAGGTCGAAGGAATTGTCCGTAGAGCTCCGAGACAGGATTGTGTCGAGGTACAGATCTGGGGAAGGGTACCAAAAATTGTCTGCAGCATTGAAGGTCCCCAAGAACAGAGTGGCCTCATCATTCTTAAATGGAATACGTTTGGAACCACCAAGACCTCCTAGAGCTGGCCGCCTGGCCAAACTGAGTAATCGGGGGAGAAGGACCTTGGTCAGGGAGGTGACCAAGAACCCAATGGTCAATCTGCCAGAGCTCCAGAGTTCCTTTGTGGAGACAGGAGAAACTTCAAGAAGGACAACCATCTCTGCAGCACTCCACCAATCAGGCCTTTATGGTACTGTAGTGGCCAGACGGAAGCCACTCCTCAGTAAAAGGCACATGACAGCCCGCTTGGAGTTTCCCAAAAGGCACCTAAAGACTCTCAGACCATGAGAAACAAGATTCTCTGGTCTGATGAAACCAAGACTGAACTCTTTGGCCTGAATGCCAAGCGTCACGTCTGGAGGAAACCTGGAACCATCCCTACGGTGAAGCATGGTGGTGGCAGCATCATGCTGTGGGGATGTTTTTCAGCGGCAGGGACTGGGAAACTAGTCAGGATCAAGGGAAAGATGAACGGAGCAAAGTACAGAGAGATCCTTGATGAAAACCTGCTCCAGAGCGCTCAGGACCTCCGTCTGGGGCGAAGGTTCACCTTCCAACAGGTCAACGACCCTAAGCACACAGCCAAGATAACGCAGAAGTGGCTTCGGGACAAGTCTCTGAATGTCCTTGAGTGGCCCGGACTTGAACCCTATCGAACATCTCTGGAGAGACCTGAAAATAGCTGTGCAGCAGCGCTCCCCATCCAACCTGACAGAGCTTGAGAGGATCTGCAGAGAAGAATAGGAGAAACTCCCAAATACAGGAACAGTTGAAGTCGGATATTTACATACACCTTAGCCAAATACATTTAAACTCAGTTTTTCACAATTCCTGACATTTAATCCTAGTAAAAATTCACTGTCTTAGGTCAGTTAGGATCACCACTTTATTTTAAGAATGTGAAATGTCAAAATAATAGTAGAGAGTGATTTATTTCAGCTTTTATTTATTTCATCACATTCCCAGTAGGTCAGAAGTTTACATACACTCAATTAGTATTTGGTAGCATTGCCTTTAAATTGTTTAACTTGGGTCAAACGTTTCAGGTAGCCTTCCACAAGCTTCCCACAATAAGTTGGGTGAATTTTGGCCCATTCCTCCTGACAGAGCTGGTGTAACTGAGTCAGGTTTGTAGGCCTCCTTGCTTGCACATACTTTTTCAGTTCTGCCCACACATTTTCTATTGAGGTCAGGGCTTTGTGATGGCCACTCCAATACCTTGACTTTGTTGTCCTTAAGCCATTTTGCCACAACTTTGGTAGTATGCTTAGGGTCATTGTCCATTTGGAAGACCCATTTGCGACCAAGCTTTAACTTCCTGACTGATGTATTGAGATGTTGCTTCAATATATCCACATCAATTTTGTGAAGTGCACCAGAATATCTCCTGCAGCAAAGCACCTCCACAGCATGATGCTGCCACCCCCGTGCTTCACGGTTGGGATGGTGTTCTTCGGCTTGCAAGCAACCCCCTTTTTCCTCCAAACATAACGATGGTCATTATGGCCAAACAGTTCTATTTTTGTTTCATCAGACCAGAGGACATTTCTCCAAAAAGTATGATCTTTTTTTGGGGGGGGGGGGCGGTTTTGGAGCAGTGGCTTCTTCCTTGCTGAGTGGCCTTTCAGGTTATGTCGATATAGGACTCGTTTTACTGTGTATATAGATACTTTTGTACTTGTTTTCTCCAGCATCTTCACAAGGTCCTTTGCTGTTGTTCTGGGATTGATTTGCACTTTTCGCACCAAAGTACGTTCATCTCTAGGAGACAGAACGCGTCTCCTTGCTGAGCAGTATGACGGCTGCGTGGTCCCATGGTGTTTATACTTGCTTAATATTGTTTGTACAGATGAACGTGGTACCTTCAGGCGTTTGGAAATTGCTCCCAAGGATGAACCAGACTTTTGGAGGTCTACAATTTGTTTTCTGAGGTCTTGGCTGATTTCTTTTGATTTTCCTATGATGTCAAGCAAATAGGCACTGAGTTTGAAGGTAGGCCTTGAAATACATCCACAGGTACACCTCCAATTGACTCAAATTATGTCAATTAGCCTATTAGAAGCTTCAAAGCCATGACATCATTTTCTGGAATTTTCCAAGCTGTTTAAAGGCACAGTCAACTTAGTGTAAGTAAACTTCTGACCCACTGGAATTGTGATAAAGTGAATTATAAGTGAAATAATCTGTCTGTAAACAATTGTTGGAAAAATTACTTGTGTCATGCACAAAGTAGATGTCCTAATCGACTTGCCAAAACTATAGTTTGTTAACAAGAAATCTGTGGAGTGGTTGAAAAACAAGTTTTAATGACTCCAACCTAAGTGTATGTAAACTTCCGATTTCAACTGTATGCCAAGCTTGTAGCGTCATACCCAAGAAGACTCGAGGCTGTAATCGCTGCCCAAGGTGCTTCAACAGAGTACTGAGTAAATGGTCTGAATACTTTTGTAAATGTGATATTTCAGTACTTTTATTTTTTTTGCAAAAATAATTTCAATGCTGTTTTTGCTTTGTCATTATGGGGTATTGTGTGTAGATTTATGAGGGGAAAAAACAATTTAATCCATTTTAGAATAAGGCTGTAACAAAATGTGGAAAAAGTCAAGGGGTGTGAATACTTTCCAAATTCACTGTATACATTTTTTATGGCATTTTGTACTCAACCACCTGCGGGCCGGATTGAATGGGATCCGGCCCCCCTGCCTTGAGTTTGACACGTGCTCTAATCGATCTAGTTCTGGTGCTACGCTGCTATGTATTGGAAAAGAAAAAGACCTCAGTGGATTGGACAGCTAAAGAGGCTTAACTCCCAACTGAACTGCAGCTATTAAAATCTGGCTGTGCTGGGCGAGGAGAGGCTCGTTCACTCACTCAGCTGAGGCCTGGCAGAATCTAGGCATGATCCAATTGTTGATAGTGATTATTTTGCGCTATCTCCACAACCTAGTTGCTGCATCCATATGTCATGATTGAGTGAAGCAATCATACCAAACACATAGATTTTAATCTGTTGGATAATTCAGGCCACTTTTGTGGTAGTTTTCACACAGGTCTTACATTTCATGCATGATTTTAAACGTCATTTTGAAAAGCCAATTATTAATAAAGATGTGAATGATTACTATCCTCACATGCATATCCAATGGATCCTGTTTTAGGCTCAGACAACCTGGCTCGCTGCGGTGCTTTGGAGAGCCTGGTGAATGACATGGTGGATGACACCTGGGATGACAGAGCCATGAACAGGATCAGTGCCATCCACTTCCTGGATGATGACGATGACGAGGATGATAAAAAGGTGAGATGAAGGACTAGAAGTGTGTGAAGAGACGATAAGGTTGTGGAGAGATGAGGAGCGTGTGAAGGGGAATGACAGTAGGCGATGAGGTAGAAAATACCTTTCACCACTCACGGGTCGTTTGAAACGTCAAAACTGTCAATACTCACTAAACAAGGAATAGAGATGCCACTTGAATTTAGATTAAACTAATAAAAAGCCATGATCATTGTTGAGTCCATTAACTGGTTTAAAACTAGGTTTAATCTTTCAGATATTTTAAATTAGTTGGGTCCAAAATGGTTGTTACCCTTGATAAAGATAAGCAAAAAAAAACTGTATAAAATAAATAATACAAATACTGAGCTATATTGTATGTAAAAAAAAAAAAAAAGACTATTATATTATTTTATACTAACACAATTGCTCAGATAAAGATTTTGTTTAACAAGTAATATTATTTTTCCTCAAAGATATGAGTTAAAATTATTGGCACCCCTGTTTTCAATAATACCTTTCAATAACTCACAGCACTGAGCCTTTAAAAAAAAAAAGAGAGATTGGAGAACACATTGGAAGGGATCTTATACCATTCCTCCATACAAAGTCTTTCCAGATCCTTGATATCCTTCGTCTGCGCTTATGGACTTGCCCTCTTCAATTCAAATCTCAATTTTTTTGAAAAAGGCTCAGTGCCATTAGTAAAAATATATGCCATTTAGCAGACGCTTTTATCTAAAGCGACTTAGTCATGCGTGCATACATTTACGTATGGATGTCCGTTATCCTCGGAAGGTAAGGTATTGAAAACAGAGATGCCAATAATTTTGACCCCTAGCTTTTAGAGAAAAAATATGACAATCTCTTTCTCTGAGCAATTATATTAGAATAGAATAATATCCCCATTTTCTTTAGCATACAATATAGCTCAGTATTTGTATTTATTTTATACAGTATTAAAGAAAAACATTTTTATCAAGGGTGCCAATAATTTTGGACCATACTGTATGTCCAAGTGTATATGTACACTCAGTTGCCAGTTTATTAGGTGAAAAGCCCAGGAGGCAGGCCATTTCTGAAATACTGGAACCGGTGCGCCAGACACCGATGATCAAGTTGCTTAGGTCACCCGTTTTGCCCATTCTAACGTTCAGTTGAACAGTAACTGAATGCCTCAATGCCTGTCTGCCTGCTTTACAGTATATAGCAAGCCACGGCAATGTGACTCACTGTCTGTAGAAGCGAACCATGCATAAACTGGCCACTGAGTGTATAACATATTATATCCGTTGCTATGAAGGTAATATAATGCATGGCATAAAGAGAGACCTGTTGTAGAATCTGGGTCCATTCAGTCGTACAGATCCGTCTCCCTGTTTGTCTCCTCCCTGCCCCTATGTTTGTCTCCTCCCCACAGGGAACACTGATGCGACGGGCCACTCCTCACCCAGGCGAGCTGAAGACTATGAAGAAAGCAGCGGAGAACCTCCGTAACGACCTGAACGCTGCCAAAGGCCTGGATTCCAACAAAAACGAGGTCAATAATGCTACAGTCACCACGTCTGTGTGACTCTTACCTCAGAAACATTCTTACCTCCTATGTCTCTCGCCATGTTCACCTGCACAACCCCCTGAACCTACTTTTCCCCACGAACCCCTCTGCGGTCTACCTACCCCTCCTGCGGCTCAACCCTGGGACTCTGCTGTGATCCTCTTGTCCAGTACCTTACTTCATCTCCAATACCCACCACGGTATCTGGCTCAGACTACCAGGGCCCATGTGCCTTCTTTTCAAACTATTGTGCTATCTTTTCAAACAGCAATACTATGCACAGGTGTGCTCCTTTTTAAAGGTATTTTTTAAAGTTAGTGCTTTTTAAAGATCTTTTTTTTTCCTTTTTTTATGGACAATAGGTAGTTGCACTACTGTAAGTCTTAAGTATATTAAATATTGTTGACATCTTCATAAATATATTATATATTTGTTCAAAATTTTTTTTTTTAAACACTGGGTGAATTTCTCTATTTACATTTTGGGGATACTTAAAACCGAGGAGTTTTTGGACCTACTGATTTAAGGATTATTGTATAGTCATTTGTGAATATTGATACTTTTATACTTTTTGGCAGCTCAGATGGTGTAAATTAAAACAGTATATAGCAAGTTTCTTAAACTATCGCAGAATTTTAAAAACGTTATCTTGGAACTTGGTACGTATTTTATTTCCTTTTTAGTATTTTCCTTTTAAGTAAAGAAATGAACAAAAATGCAGTTGCTAATGTCTTATCAAAACAATATAATTATCTTTGGGTGAGTAGACAGCCTCGAATCTTCTTTTCTACTCCATTGTCTAACTTCTTAATCAAATCCTAAACTCATTTTTATATAGACACGTTTGGTAATTTTGTAAATAAGTGCTGCGGAACACAACACGTACCATAACCACTCTCCCACAACAGATTGAGCGGACGTGACAAGGCTGTCTTACTTTCTTCCATTGCGCTTCAGTGCTTTGAAATGTTTTCTTAATACCAGATACGGCTGCATTTTTTAAATTTGCCGCTTTCTCCCTTTAACATATGAGCATTAGACTTTCAATGGCCAATTTAATTAAAAACAAGGTAATAAGGACCAGGGTGGAATCTTTAGAAAATGCAGTTTAAGCATACACTAATGCACTTCTTAAAGTTTATTACGTCTTAATAAAAATGGATTGTTGTTCAAATGGTACACTACAACATTGATTTAACTTTTTTTTGTTTTAATTGTATTTCAAGGAGAGGACCATATACATTTGTTTTAATGTGGATTTTATCTTAATTCTTTAATTTTCTTTAATGATCAAGCTGCACAAAAACAGAATCCGAAATGGGCATGGACACTGAGCCTACAGATTTTGATTACTTTTAACCACTGATAAAATAAAATGGGTTTAAAACCAAACAGGATTCGTTATTCCCCGTAACTCCGTTTTTTTAAGTCCATTAGTCTTTAGTGTTTCAGCCTATAGTCCTTTATGAAAAATGTAGACCATCTTCCGTTTTTGCTTCACCATCTCACAATTGTTAACATGTCATATAGCAGGTCTCATAACTGTTAACATGTCATATAGCATGTCTCATAACTGTTAACATGTCAAATCATAAACGCCATATATAGACATTTTGTGTTCAAGCCGCACATGCCCGTTATCATTGATTATTCTTAAATACTGTATGTATTAACCATTAAAATTGGATTAGATTTAAACCGTTTATTTTCAATTTTCTAAAGGAAATCACTCTGTTGATAAAGGAAATCACAAAGCCCGTTGATAAAGAGCTCATCAGGGTGGTCATTCACATACACACGTTAGTACTTTTTCCTCAACCATTCATGTCCTGTTTTGTCTGTCCATCTTGCATTGCTTGACTTGTGTATATATTATGCAACACCTCACCTTACTGTCATGTGCTGTATGTGAAGTCTGCATGTCTTGAAATTAGAGGGTAAGTATGGACTGCATTCAATGTTGTATTCACAAAGTTTAAAATCCATGTGCTTATCTCAAGTACAGTTGAAGTCAGAGGTTTACATGCACCTTAGCCAAATATATTTAAACTCAGTTTTTCAAAATTCCTGACATTTAATCCTAGTAAGAATTCCCTGTCTTAGGTCAGTTAGGATCACCACTTTATTTTAAGAATGTGAAATGTCATAATAATAGTGGAGAGTGATTTATTTCAGCTTCTATTTCTTTCATCACATTCCCAGTGGATCAGAAGTTTACATACACTCAATTAGTATTTGGTAGCATTGCCTTTAAATTGTTTAACTTGGGTCAAACATTTCGGGTAGCCTTCCACAAGCTTCCCACAATAAGTTGGGTGAATTTTGGCCCATTCCTCCTGACAGAGCTGGTGTAACTGAGTCAGGTTTGTAGGCCTCCTTGCTCGCACACGCTTTTTCAGTTCTGCCCACACATTTTCTATAGGATTGAGGTCAGGGCTTTGTGATGGCCACTCCAATACCTTGACTTTGTTGTCCGTAAGCCATTTTTCCACAACTTTGGAAGTATGCTTGGGGTCATTGTCCATTTGGAAGACCCATTTGCGACCAAGCTTTAACTTCCTGACTGATGTCTTGAGATGTTGCTTCAATATATCTACATAATTTTCCTTCCTCATGATGCCATCTATTTTGTGAAGTGCACCAGTCCCTCCTGCAGCAAAGCACCCCCACAGTATAATGCCTGCACCCCCGTGCTTCACGGTTGGGATGGTGTTCTTCGGCTTGCAAGCCTTCCCCTTTTACCTCCAAACATAACGATGGTCATTATGGCCAAACAGTTCTATTTTTGTTTCATCAGACCAGAGGACATTTCTCCAATAAGTATGATCTTTGTCCCCATGTGTTGTTGCAAACCGTAGTCTGGCTTTTTTATGGCGGTTTTGGAGCAGTGGCTTCTTCCTTGCTGAGCTGCCTTTCAGGTTATGTCGATATAGGACTCGTTTTACTGTGGATATAGATACTTTTGTATCTGTTTCCTCCAGCATCTTCACAAGGTCCTTTGCTGTTGTTCTGGGATTGATTCCTTTTAAGTAAAGAAATGAACAAAAATGCAGTTGCTAATGTTTTATCAAAACAATATAATTATCTTTGGGTGAGTAGACAGCCTCAAATCGTATTTTCTACTCCATTGTCTAACTTTTTAATCAAATCCTAAACTCATTTTTATATAGACACGTTTGGTAATTTTGTAATTAAGTGGGGAACACAACACGTACCATAACCACTCTCCCACAACAGATTGATTGGAAGTGACAAGGCTGTCTTACTTTCTTCCATTGCGCTTCAGTGCTTTGAAATGTTTTCTTAATACCAGATACCAGAAACGTTCATCTCTAGGAGACAGAAAGGTGAATTAATCTCCCAGTTTCTGATGGAAAGCAGACTGAACCAGGTTTCCTCTAGGATGTTGCCTGTGCTTAGCTCCATTCAGTTTCTTTTTTTATCCTGAAAAACTCCCCAGTCCTTAAATGATTACAAGCATACCCATAACATGATGCAGCCACCACTATGTTTGAAAAATATGGAGTACTCTGTAATGTGTGTTGTATTGGATTTGCCAAAAAACATAACACTGTATTCAGAACAAAAAGTGAACAGGATTGCAAAAAGGATGCATGTTTTAGAATATTTGTTTTCTGTACAGGCTTCCTTTTCACTCTATCAATTAGGTTAGTATTGTGAAGTAACTAGAATGTTGTTGATCCATCCTCAGTTTTCTCTTATCACAGCCATTAAACTCTCCAGCAAGTGAGTTAGGAAGGGCGCCTGTATCTTTGTAGTGACTGGGTGTATTGATACACCATCAAAAGTGTAGTTAATAACTTCACCATGCTTAAAGGGATATTCAATGTCTGCTTTTTTTTATTTTTATTTTTTTTATCTACCAATAGGTGCCCTTCTTTGCGAGGCATTGGAAAACCTCCCTGTTCTTTGTGGTTTAATCTGTGAAATTCACTGCTCGACTGAGGGACCTTTAAAGATAATTGTATGTGTGGGATACAGAGATGAGGTAGTAATTCCAAAATCATTTTAAACACTATTATTATTATTATTATTATTATTATTAAACACAGAGGCCATGCAATTTATTATGTGACTTGTTAAGCACATTTTTACTCCTGAATTTATTTAGGCTTGCCATAACAAAGGGGTTGAATACTTATTGACTGAAGACATTTCAGCTTTTCATTTTAAATTAATTTATAAGAATTTTGAATAACATCATTCCACTTTGACATTATGGGGTATTGTGTGTAGGCCAGTGACCAGAAATCCCCATTTAATCCATTTTAAATTCAGCCTTTAGCACAACAAAATGTGGAATAAGTCGAGGGTTTGTGAATACGTTCTGAAGGCACTATGTCACCCTGCTTCTGAAGTGTTCTGGTCCTTAGTAAATAACCAATGGAACTGTGTAGCTTACTTTTACTTATCTACCATTTTGTAAAGGAAGTGTGTACATCTCCCAAAGGGACGGTCTCTCTTATTTTTCTCATTCCTGGAAAGGCAGAGCTCCTCACTGTTTGAAATGAAATACAATCAACTCCTGATACATATGTATAGAGCTGGTCGTGACCAGCACTAAATTGCATGAGCATGCAGTTATTTTTTTATTTAACCTTTATTTAACTAGCCAAGTCTGTTAAGAACAAATTCTTATTTACAATGACGGCCTACCAAAAGGCCTCCTGCGGGGACGGGGGCTGGGATTTAAAATATATATATATATAGGACCAAACACACATCACAACAAGAGAGACAACACAACACTACATAAAGAGAGACTTAAGACAACATAGCATGGCAGCAACACACGACAACACAGCAAGGTAGCAATCCAACATGAAAACAACATGGTAGCAACACAACATGGCAGCAGCACAACATGGTAGCAGCACAAGACATGGTACAAACATTTTTGGGCACAGACAACAGCACAAAGGGCAAGAAGGTAGAGATAACAATACAACACACGAAGCAGCCACAACTGTCAGTAAGGGTGTCCATGATTGAGTCTTTGAATGAAGAGATGGAGATAAAACTGTCCAGTTTGACTGTTTTTTGCAGCTCGTTCCAGTCGCTAGCTGCAACAGTTATCAAGTGTGTAAATTAATTAACAAGAATGTAAATGAATTGAGACTGGAAAACAAAGTTTGCTTTCATCTGAAGTGTATACAGATACAGTGGGGAAAAAAAGTATTTAGTCAGCCACCAATTGTGCAAGTTCTCCCACTTAAAAAGATGAGAGAGGCCTGTAATTTTCATCATAGGTACACGTTAACTATGACAGACAAAATGAGAAAAGAAATTCCAGAAAATCACATTGTAGGATCTTTAATGAATTTATTTGCAAATTATGGTGGAAAATAAGTATTTGGTCAAAGTTTCTCAATACTTTTTTATATACCCTTTGTTGGCAATGACACAGGTCAAATGTTTTCTGTAAGTCTTCACAAGGTTTTCATACACTGTTGCTGGTATTTTGGCCCATTCCTCCATGCAGATCTCCTCTAGAGCAGTGATGTTTTGGGGCTGTCGCTGGGCAACACAGACTTTCAACTCCCTCCAAAGATTTTCTATGGGTTTGAGATCTGGAGACTGGCTAGGCCACTCCAGGACCTTGAAATGCTTCTTACGAAGCCACTCCTTCGTTGCCCGGGCGGTGTGTTTGGGATCATTGTCATGCTGAAAGACCCAGCCACGATTCATCTTCAATGCCCTTGCTGATGGAAGGAGGTTTTCACTCAAAATCTCACGATACATGGCCCCATTCATTCTTTCCTTTACACGGATCAGTCGTCCTGGTCCCTTTGCAGAAAAACAGCCCCAAGGCATGATGGTCCTCCAGTGTGGTTCTGGGATTTTTGCTCACCGTTCTTGTGATCATTTTGACCCCACGGGGTGAGATCTTGCGTGGAGCCCCAGATCGAGGGAGATTATCAGTGGTCTTGTATGTCTTCCATTTCCTAATAATTGCTCCCACAGTTGATTTCTTCAAACCAAGCTGCTTACCTATTGCAAATTCAGTCTTCCCAGCCTGGTGCAGGTCTACAATTTTGTTTCTGGTGTCCTTTGACAGCTCTTTGGTCTTGGCCATAGTGGAGTTTGGAGTGTGACTGTTTGAGGTTGTGGACAGGTGTCTTTTATACTGATAACAAGTTCAAACAGGTGCCATTAATACAGGTAACGAGTGGAGGACAGAGGAGCCTCTTAAAGAAGAAGTTACAGGTCTGTGAGAGCCAGAAATCTTGCTTGTTTGTAGGTGACCAAATATTTATTTTCCACCATAATTTGCAAATAAATTCATTAAAAATCCTACAATGTGATTTTCTGGGAAAAAAATCTCAATTTGTCTGTCATAGTTGACGTGTACCTATGATGAAAATTACAGGCCTCTCATCTTTTTAAGTGGGAGAACTTGCACAATTGGTGGCTGACTAAATACTTTTTTTCCCCACTGTATACCGTCCGGTAAGAACATAATTTCACAAGAACTCATACTAATTATCTCTGAAAACAGTACTTCTACATTACATAATGTTCCTCCTCATGGTGCTTATTTTTGGCAGCCTGTCTAGTGCCTGCACAGTGAAATCACTGTATCAGGATTCCATTTTAATCCTTCAATATAACAAATATTTAATCTGAGCATTATTAGTGCCAATGATCCAAAGGTAAATTAGATTTAGTTCATAATCCATTGTAGTTTATTGCTGCTTAACAATACATAATCTAACAAACTTTTCTGTGTTAAATTGTAATTGATGTGTAATGTGCATCGGTTTTTCTCCTGGCTTTGTATTCTTATTGTGCAATAACTGGTGGATTTATGTCATTTTGAAGAGCAATGCCTTAAAGGTCCAATGTAGCCATTTTGTCTCAATATCAAATATTTTCTGGGTAACAATGAAGTACCTTTGATTGTTTTTCAATTAAAATCGTCAAAAAGAAACAAAAATAGCTTCTTAGCAAAGAACAATTTCTCAAGCAAGAATTTTGCTAAGACTGGGAGTGGTTTGAGTGGTAACAGGAAAACTGAAAATGAGCTGTTATTGGCAGAGTTTGGAACTCTTTCTTATTGGTCTATTAACTAGTTTACCACATGTTGATGTTACATTTACATTTTAGTCATTTAGCAGACGCTCTTATCCAGAGCGACTTACAGTTAGTGAGTGCATCCATTTTTTTAAATTTTAATTTAAATTTAATTTTTTTCATACTGGCCCCCCGTGGGAATCGAACCCACAACCCTGGCGTTGCAAATGCCATGCTCTACCAACTGAGCTACATCCCTGCTGGCCATTCCCTCCCGTACCCTGGACGACGCTGGGCCAATTGTGCGCCGCCCCATGGGTCTCCCGGTCACGGCCAGCTACGACAGAGCCTGGATTCGAACCAGGATCTCTAGTGGCACAGCTAGCACTGCGATGCAGTGCCTTAGACCACTGCGCCACTCGGGAGATATATGTTACTGTGAAAGGCCAAAACTCCCTCCAACCAAAACAGGCAGAAATTTCAGTTGGTCTTTTGAAACGTCTCTAACACTAAAAGGGCGTTATCATTTTCACAATTTCAAAGTATTAATCCAACCTCCATATTGTGGAAATATAAAACACAGGAAAATCTAATTTTTGACTGATCTGGGCCTTTAAGAACACTGCATGACCAAAAGTATGTGGATGCATGCTCGTTGAACATCTCATTCCAAAATCATGGGCATTAATATGGAGTTGGTTCCCCCTTTGCTGCTATAACAGCCTCTACTCTTCTGGGAAGGCTTTCCACTAGATGTTGGAACATTGCTGCGGGGACTTGCTTCCATTCAGCAACGAGCATTAGTGAGGTTGGGCACGGGATTAGGCCTGGCTCGCGGTCGGCGTTCCAATTCATCCCAAAGGTGTTCGATGGGGTTGAGGTCATGGTTCTGTGCAGGCCAGTGAAGTTCTTCCACACCAATCTCGACACCATTTCTATATGGACCTCGCTTTGTGCGTTGTCATGCAGAAACAGGAAAGGGCCTTCCCAAAACTGTTGCCACAAAGTTGGAAGCACAGAAATGTCTAGAATGTCATTGTATGCTAAGCGTTAAGATTTCCCTTCACTGGAACTAAGGGGCCTAGCCCGAACCATGAAAAACAGCCCCAGACCATTATTCCTCCTCCACCAAACTTTACAGTTGGCACTATGCATTGGGGCAGGTAGCGTTCTACTGGCATCTGCCAAACCCGGATTCAAGCGTGATTCATCACTCCAGAGAACGCATTTCCACTGCTCAAGAGTCCAATGGTGGTGAGCTTTACACCACTCCAGCTGACGCTTGGCATTGTGCATGGTGAGCTTAGGCTTGTGTGCAGCTGCTCGGCCATGGAAACCCATTTCATTAAGCTCCTGGCGAGCAGTTATTGTGCTGATGTTGCTTCCAGAGGCAGTTTGGAACTCGGTAGTGAGTGTTGCAACCGAGGACAGACCATTGTTACGTGCTTCAGCACTCGGCGGTCCCATTCTGTGAGCTTGTGTGGCCTACAACTTTGCGGCTGAGCTGTTGTTGCTCCTAGACGTTTCCACTTCACAATAACAGCAATAACATTTGACGAACTGACTTGTTGGAAAGGTGGCATCCTATGACTGTGCCACGCTCTTCAGTAAGGCCATTCTACTGCCAATGTTTGTATATGGAGATTGCATGGCTGTGTGCTCGATTTTATACACCTGTCAGCAACGGGTGTGACTGAAATAGCCAAATCCACTAATTTGAAGGGGTGTCCACATGCTTTTGTGCATATAGTGTACATTTCTGCTAATGAACTTAAAAGAAATGTAAAGGCAGTTCTAAGCGTGCTCTGAGAGTTAATTCATGCTGTTGGGTATGTACACATTTTTCTTGTGTTACTGTGCGTACACTAGTCTAAAACGATGCACTATTCACAGTTTAAAAGTAGATGACAAAGTAAATGACACAATTTCAAAGTAGATTTATTTCTCTTAACTTTGAAGTGTAATCTCAATCAGCAAAATGAGCTCTGATTTGCAATCATTGTCGACTAATCATAACATGTGTAGCTATGCATGATATTTTCTGACTCTCCAGGGATGTAGAAATGCTCAGGCTAACACATCCTCCAGTGGCAGCAGTAGCCACAACTGGCCCATCTCTGGCCTGCGCTGGGTGGGAGCCTCCAAGGAGCTCCTGCATGGGGGCCTCAACCTGTTCCCCGTCTATGACAGCGTGAGGGGACGCTGCTCTAGTCCAGAGAAGGATGCTGAGCAGATCGAGGAGGAACAGCTTGAAGACGTGAGCGTACTCTTCCGTTGACTTGATCTGTCTCATTGTTGATTTTTACGTCTCACTTTGTCGAAGTCAAACTTATTGGATAAAAAGTTTGTACTTAGTTGTACTTAGGGTGCTGAAAGCTACAGATTGCAACTTTTTCTTTGTCTACCTCTCTCTCTCCCTCCCTTCTCCCAGGATGGTTCTGTCCATTTCTCTGAGGGAGAGGGGATGCCCAGGAGGTTCAGGCACGACAGAGGAGACATCCGCGAGGACAGGAAACTGCAGCGATGCAGAGCTCAGCAAGCAGGGCCCAGTCCCCAGTCCCCCCCACATAGTACCGTAAACCTCGATAGCTCCGGGAAAACGGTCCAAGCTGGGGCTGCCGACAGGACCTCATCACACGAATCAGTCATCTCCAAAGTGCCCTTAAGAGTAAATCTGCACGCCCTATGATATAATATATTCTATTTGTTTTTCAAACTTCAGTTCCTATTAGTGCTACAATGCAAGTCTCATGGTATAGAAGCTTTCAGCTCTCTGTGGTAGATGTGTACTATAATTTTTCTTTATGTATGCATACCAAGTTCTTTCTGTAGGTCGCTCTGTTGAGAGATGGGCTCATTTGTTCTCTAATTGTGCTTTTTCCCACTTAGCTACAGATCAAAGTTTGCGGCCAGAGGGGCAGTCTGGGAATCAGCATTGCAGGAGGGAAGGGCTCTCTGCCTTACAAGGAGCATGATGAGGTCAGCCTTAATGCAGGAACAGCAGAGCTGTCAGACTTAATGCAGCACTGCTGCAACCCCAATTGAGGCACCACCTCCTGCATGATAACGATAGCTAATAATAATATATGTGTATTGGCATTTATAAATGGCAGGAATGTCAGCCATCAGTAATATAGCTGAATATTTACTTAGGCAGTTGATATTTAATTTCAGTGGTAGCTCTCAGCTGACATATTTCAGAAGCATGAGGGATGCAGACAAATCCAGATTCAGATCAGATTATTAGAGGCGCAGTGAAACCGCAGTTGATTCAAAAAAAAATTACCATTAAAAAATTCACCATTAAATGCCGGTTGTTGTACTTCTACTAGTGTATATTTTCCTTTTTCAGGGCATCTTTATTTCCAGAGTGTCGAAAGGAGGGCCATCGGAAAAGGCGGGTGTCCACATTGGAGACAGAGTACTGGAGGTTGGACCAAAACATCCTCCCATGTAGTCCCTGTAGTTTTAGCATATCTGATTATTTACATGTAGCTCTTATGACCACCAGATGATAAATCACCAGCATACATCCCCTCCATACCAGGCTCAGTAAAAGAGGCCATTGCCATTCACCTCCTGGCCAGAGGAGGGCGCCATTAGATGGACACAAACTCACAAACTGTGGTCTGCAGTGTTAGACTTTTTTTTTTGCATGTATAGGCTCCTGTTACAAAGGAGTTATGCTGGTTTGTAGAACAAAAAACATTTTCCTCTACAAGCAAGTATAGAAATATCTAGAGAGTAGATATCAATATGTGAGTGATATTGGTCTAAGAGTTGACCTTTCATTTGCACTACATATTAAATGTCAAACTCTTAGACCAAATGTGGCGATGAATGAGCTATTGTTGTCCCATAAATAGACCTGTTTATTTTCAGTGAATGCACACTTTGATGCGATAGCTTCTACTGCCCACCCTTGACCCCTGCTTCTACTTTCGCTGGTGTCCAACCAGATCATTTGTCACTTGTCCATCCAGGTCAATGGCCTGGACATGCAGGAGGTCAGCCACCACGAAGCTGTCACCGCCCTGAGGAATGCTGGGAGCTGCATCAAGATGAAAGTCATGAGGGAGAGGGCTATCCAGAGCCTCGACACCTGCCGGGCCCAGCAGGAAAACTCTGTTGCCGTCACCGCGGAGACGGACATTCTCATGAGCTGGCAGCTTGTTGACCTGGAGGATGGACGCCAGCGACCCAAGGCCCAGCAGCCAGGCCCGGAGCCCTCTGTGGATTGTGACCTGACCAAGAGGATTGAGGCTGTAGTCTGTAACGGCAATGGAGTGGTGAGTGGAGTTGACCACTCCAATGGCTCTAACTATAATTGTGTTGACAAAAGAAAGGTGAGGCAGAACAGAATCATTTTAGGTTGGGTATTTCACAGGTTTCAGAAAATCCTCAAGCTGTCCTTTTAAAACGACTCCATTATTATACTGTCTTGTTTTCTCTGAACATTCTCTCCACCTAGGTTAAGGTTTTCATTATTGTTCATGTCTTTGGTTCTTTTCAGTCTGATCTGCAGAGCGATCTTAATTGGTCGTTCTTTAAACGAGAACCGGAGGCCTCGTTTAAAAGCAATGCACTTCAAGTGGTGAAAAATACCATGACGGTAAGCAAAAGGCTCTTTCTCAGGGGTCAAAAAAATATGTCCTTTCCTCACCCCCTCTCCTTTATCTACACTGGTCTGAAAATTTGACAAGGGGAAAGCCAGTTGGTGGATGCTCATCATTAGGCTGGTTTTCACCTGGTCAAGTCTTTTACAACCAGTCCAGATAAGGGGAAGGAGTCGAAGGCAGGACAGATTATTTTCTCTTTTTTTAAAAGAGTTTCTGATGCACATAACCGTGGGAAGTAGGTGTGCTGGGGGTGCTGCATCACACCCCCTGATAAATGGAAATAATTTTGCCAACATTAGTCTTTAAAAAATATTTTCCCCAAAATGATATTACTCCTGTCTGAACAGACATAAATAAAATAATAAAAAATACTACACCAGAGAGTGTAATTTAGCTACAGAGTATCAATAGCTTCTAAAGAATTTCTGTGGATTAAGTTTAATCACAAACACTTAGTCGGGAAGGCCGCAATTTGGGCAGTACGAGCGCTAAATATAGAACAGCTTGTTGCATTGTGGCCATAGACATAATCCATATGACGATTTTGGAACCTCTAACCCTGGCACTGACTGTTAAACTCATGGATACACTAGCAATGGCTGCCAGTCCTGACTTGAATGGGAACTGCCATCTATGGATTATATTTGTATGGCTGTCAGTTTACCATTCACAAATTTCAAAATACAATCGCGAGAAAAACATAGGCCTGCTGTTTTGAAAGCAAATGCCTACTGCTGAAAAGAGAAGACTAATCTGTCTGTAGAAGCAAATAAAACAATTCTCAGCAACGTTTGAGCGATTCTGAGTGAACAGCACTGTTTTTCAAAGTAGCTTATCTTGAGATATTGGCACAAGCTAAAGTTTATTTATAGCATACTATATACAGTATATACTATATATCAGGGTTTCGGATAGGAGAATTTGGTGCCAGACAAGTGACTGGGAAGATTAAAATGTATCAATAAACGAGCGATATTGGCCAAGTGAGCCACATTTACATATCCTTAACAGCCTTTAACAAATTACAGAAACACTATTCCTTGTGTTTGGATAGCGGCCATTCTGACCTTGAGCAAGGCAGTTAACCCCCAACAATAACTGCTTCCCGGGCGCCGATGACGTGGAAGTCGATTAAAGCAGCCCACGTCTCTGATTCAGAGGGGTTGGGTTAAATGTGGAAGACACATTTTGGTTTAATGCATTCAGTTGTACAACTGACTAGGTATCCCCCTTCCTGTTAACTTTTATTGGTTTTTACATTCCTAAAACAATAATTGTCCACCTCACGGTTCAGCTGTCAGAGATTTGAGCACTAAATGCATCAGGGCATTGCATGCATAGGCCTATAGGCTTAGGCGTCCACTGTATGATATTAATATTTTAAAAAATATATATATATAAAGGAAGAGAAGCTTAGGCCTAACCCCAGAGAGCGAGAGATAGAGATATGCTACGACCCCAACATGCATTTATTTATCCTTGTCTGATAGGCTACTGCGTCTGCTTTACAGATATAGGCGTACAGAAGGAGGCTAATTTGTTATTTTTCAATCAAAATATTTTTTCAAGATAAGCATTATGTTGTTAGATTATAGGAGCAACTCTGGTAGGCCTCAAACATTCTTCCTCACCTCAAGTTCAACTGTCGGAGTTAGTTGGAGGGCAAGTGTGCACTGCCTTCATATCATAGGCCTGCAGTATAATAGGCTCATAGCCACACCACACCAAACCTTCACACAAGTTTCTAAACTTTATTAGGGTAATATCAAAAGTAAGTCAAGCCATTGTTTATAGCGAAAATACGAGCAGGATATTATGTTGCGGCAAACACAACATTACAGTTGAAACTTCATTTGGTCAAAGAAAATGTCTCAACAGAATGAAACAAAACACGTTTTGCATATTTAGATTTAATAAATAGGCCTACAATAATAACAATGATATACAATAATAATCATGGTAAAAGAAATTATTATGGATACGAAAAATTGCATCCTACCTGAATAGTGAGTTGCACAGTAGTAGCCCGCATTTGGCCATTTGTGTGGTATTAAATATTCTGTTAATGTCGTCTATCATGTAAATGCTGTAGAACTGCATGAAATGAGTTGACAAAACGCTAAAAAAAACTACCAAAGTTGTCTGCTCAGCTGTATGCCACCCCCAAGCATCCCCCAAATCAAAACATCTTCCCCCCGCGGCTATGCTGTTGCAATCTTTGCAACTCGTCAGTCATCTCAGTGTCCCTTAGATGTACACTCTTGTTGAATAATTCATAATTTACAGTATTAGCACTATCAAACGACCTTAAAGGGATTGTTCACTTCAAACGTTTGTCAGATGTGTTCAAAGCTCATAAGTGGTGTAATGTCAAGTTTAGGCCATGTCCCACACCATCTGTTGTTTAGATCCAACTATAGTATACCTCAACCCCAGATTAATCGAAAAGATACACTTTTTTCAGTGCCTCTTTTCAATTCATTTGGAATTGGGGTGTAAATCTAGACAACAGATAGTCAGATGTGGACTCATCACAACAATTGTGAAATGTCAGTATGCCGTCAAACTAACTCATTTTATTTCCCACCCATTAATGTTCAATTTCTGGACAATTTCCTGCTAGATACCTCGGATTATCCTCACCCACCCCTCTACCTCAGACGAGGATGTAGAGCCCTTGACACAGGACCCTGACAGTGAGGCATTAGAGGACTTTGAAGATCCTGACAGCCACATCCACTCTGAGTGCTTTAACAGTGCTTTCTATCCCCCCTGACCACATGCCTAAAGTTTGCAATGTTGTCGACAACTGACTTGTTATACACAACCCACTGGGCACAGACGTCAGTTCAACGTGTAGTTTTGATTTACTTTTGGTTGAGTTGTCAAATCAACAAAAAATGTCACCATGTCAAAAAATACGAAATTCCCTTACGTTGATGACTTTTTCCAATCAGTTTTCCACGTTGGTTCAACATCATCACATTACATTTTTTGTTTTAAATGACGTGGGAACTGTCTTTCCCGTTTCTTTTCTATAGATTAACTTGTTTAAAAAATGATATTCCAGCTAAAGATATGTTTATGTAATTAAGAATCTAGTAAAAATGGCTGTTGGCATTGCACTGCTATTTTGGGATGATTTACACCACTGTTTTGTTGCATTAATGTTGATAGCTGCTACAGTAAATGGTAAGACTATGGCAAGAATTAACTCATTGAACGACGGGAGTCTTTGTTTGGCTAGAACAATAAACTTGTTTTGCATTGCATCATCCATGTGGGAGACCAACCACAATGAATCAAGACAAAAATAGTATTGTTACACTCCAGCTTCTCTCTCTGAAAGGGAGACTCACAAAACAAAGGTAGTTATTCAGATGAAAAATATCTGTACAGCACTTAAAATCTATTATGCACTTTCAATTTAGAAGTTCGAATTCAGTTGGGCAAAGTGTCATTCTTCTATCTACCTCTACAAATGAGCCTCTGAAGCAGATGTTTTGGCCCCTCCCATTCCACGAGAGGGAGATGCCCTGTTTTTTAGGAGTTTAGATAAAATGTGACATGTCTGGAGTGACTACAGTCGTGGTCAAAAGTTTTGAGAATGACACAAATACTAATTTTCACAAAGTCGGCTGCCTCAGTTTTGATGATGGCAATTTACATATACTCCAGAATGTCATGAAGAGTGATCAGATGAATTGCAATTAATTGTAAAGTCCCTCTTTGCCATGAAAATTAACTTAATCCCAAAAAAACATTTCCACTGCATTTCATCCCTGCCACAAAAGGACCAGCTGCTATCATGTCAGTGATTCTCTCGTTAACACAGGTGAGAGTGTTGACGAGGACAAGGCTGGAGATCACTCTGTCATGCTGATTGAGTTAGAATAACAGACTGGAAGCTTTAAAAGGAGGGTGGTGCTTGAAATCATTGTTCTTCCTCTGTTAACCATGGTTACCTGCAAGGAAACACGTGCCATCATCATTGCTTTGCACAAAAAGGGCTTCACAGGCAAGGATATTGCTGCTAGTAAGATTGCACCTAAATCAACCATTTATCGGATCATCAAGAACTTCAAGGAGAGAGGTTCAATTGTTGTGAAGAAGGCGTCAGGGCGCCCAAGAAAGTCCAGCAAGCGCCAGGACCGTCTCCTAAAGTTAATTCAGCTGCGGGATCGGGGCACCACCAGTGCAGAGCTTGCTCAGGAATGGCAGCAGGCAGGTGTGAGTGCATCTGCACGCACAGTGAGGCGAAGACTTTTGGAGGATGGCCTGGTGTCAAGAAGGGCAGCAAAGAAGCCACTTCTCTCCAGGAAAAACATCAGGGACATACTGATATTCTGCAAAAGGTACAGGGATTGGACTGCTGAGGACTGGGGTAAAGTCATTTTCTCTGATGAATCCCCTTTCCGATTGTTTGGGGCATCCGGAAAAGACAAGGTGAGAGCTACCATCAGTCCTGTGTCATGCCAACAGTAAAGCATCCTGAGACCATTCATGTGTGGGGTTGCTTCTCAGCCAAGAAATGGGCTCACTCACATTTTTGCCTAAGAACACAGCCATGAATAAAGAATGGTACCAACATATCCTCCGAGAGCAACTTCTCCCAACCATCCAAGAACAGTTTGGTGACGACCAATGCCTTTTCCAGCATGATGGAGAACCTTGCCATAAGGCAAAAGCGATAACTAAGTGGCTCGGGGAACAAAACATCGACATTTTGGGTCCATGGCCAGGAAACTCCCCAGACCTTAATCCCATTGAGAACTTGTGGTCGATCCTCAAGAGGCGGATGGACAAACAAAAACCCACAAACTCCAAGCATTGATTATGCAAGAATTGGCTGCCATCAGTCAGGATGTGGCCCATAAGTTAATTGACAGCATGCCAGGGCGGATTGCAGAGGTCTTGAAAAAGAAGGGTCAACACTGCAAATATTGTCTCTTTGCATAAACTTTAATGTAATTGTCAATAAAGGCCTTTGACACTTATGGAATGCTTGTAATTATACTTCACTATACCATAGTAACATCTGACAAAAATATCTCATAACACTGAAGCAGCGAACTTTGTGAAGACCAATACTTGTGTCATTCTCAAAACTTTTGACCACGACTGTACGCGGTGGGTGTGACAGTCCCTGCAGAGGCTCTGGAGACAGTCTGAACCCTGGCCTCCTTCTCCCAACACCTGCAGTCCAATGCTGTCTTTTCACCTGGTGGAAATATTTATAATGTGTGAAAGTATGGAAGGCCAAAGAGTCTAGATGTCATAACCTAGTATCATAATACTTCTATACTTGTCTGAGTCACTTCGGAAAGGAGTCTTTCATGTAGTAGTTGTGGTGATGTCTTAAAATGTACTTTGAATTAATAGAGTGTGACGTTGTTCAGGAGAGATAGCAAATCAATTGTGATTTCACACTTCTCAGGTTTGATGCCTCGCCAATGCCTTTGGTATTCTCACCTCCATATGTACATGATGGCCACTTCTAATGTTATTTGTAGAAAATTGTGTGAGATGACTCGCCTGAGAGAATATTCTCGCTTAATGTTCAGTCCATGCTGAAAAGCACCAATGTTCCTCAGTTTAGATCAGGTTATGATATGTCAGTTGCCACAGAAAGCATTCTAGGCAGCAAAGCAATAAACCTCAGTCTTCCTTGACATTATTCCATCAAGTCTCTGCTATCGCTGAAAGGTAGCATTGGTTGACCAGCAGCGGAGAGGAAATAATGAAAGATTTATGTTGTGCCCACATTTTCTGTAAGACTCTTAGCCAAAGTTTTTAGTTATGTATTGCGTCTGAATAAAGATACAGTGAGGGAAAAAAGTATTTGATCCCCTGCTGATTTTGTATGTTTGCCCACTGACAAAGACATGATCAGTCTATAATTTTAATGGTAGGTTTATTTGAACAGTGAGAGACAGAATAACAACAAAAAAATCCAGAAAAACGCATGTCAAAAATGTTATAAATTGATTTGCATTTTAATTAGGGAAATAAGTATTTGACCCCTCTGCAAAACATGATTTAGTACTTGGTGGCAAAACCCTTGTTGGCAATCAGAGGTCAGACGTTTCTTGTAGTTGTCCACCAGGTTTGCACACATCTCAGGAGGGATTTTGTCCCACTCCTCTTTGCAGATCTTCTCCAAGTCATTAAGGTTTCGAGGCTGACGTTTGGCAACTCGAACCTTCAGCTCCCTCCACAGATTTTCTATGGGATTAAGGTCTGAAGACTGGCTAGGCCACTCCAGGACCTTAATGTGCTTCTTCTTCAACCATTCCTTTGTTGCCTTGGCCGTGTGTTTTGGGTCATTGTCATGCTGGAATACCCATCCATGACCCATTTTCAATGCCCTGGCTGAGGGAAGGAGGTTCTCACCCAAGATTTGATGGTACATGGCGCCGTCCATCGTCCCTTTGATGCGGTGAAGTTGTCCTGTCCCCTTAGCAGAAAAACACCCCCAAAGCATAATGTTTCCACCTCCATGTTTGACGGTGGGGATGGTGTTCTTGGGGTCATAGGCAGCATTCCTCCTCCTCCAAACACGGCGAGTTGAGTTGATGCCAAAGAGCTCGATTTTGGTCTCATCTGACCACATCACTTTCACCCAGTTCTCCTCTGAATCATTCAGATGTTCATTGGCAAACTTCAGACGGCCCTGTATATGTGCTTTCTTGAGCAGGGGGACCTTGCGGGCGCTGCAGGATTTCAGTCCTTCACGGGGTAGTGTGTTACCAATTGTTTTCTTGGTGACTATGGTCCCAGCTGCCTTGAGATCATTGACAAGATCCTCCCGTGTAGTTCTGGGCTGATTTCTCACCATTCTCATGATCATTGCAACTCCACAAGGTGAGATCTTGCATGGAGCCCCAGGCCGAGGGAGATTGACAGTTATTTTGTGTTTCTTCCATTTGCGAATAATCGCACCAACTGTTGTCACCTTCTCACCAAGCTGCTTGGCGATGGTCTTGTAGCCCATTCCAGCCTTGTGTAGGTCTACAATCTTGTCCCTGACATCCTTGGAGAGCTCTTTGGTCTTGGCCATGGTGGAGAGTTTGGAATCTGATTGATTGACTGCTTCTGTGGACAGGTGTCTTTTATACAGGTAACAAACTGAGATTAGGAGCACTCCCTTCCCTTTAAGAGTGTGCTCCTAATCTCAGCTCGTTACCTGTATAAAAGACACCTGGGAGCCAGAAATCTTTCTGATTGAGAGGGGGTCAAATACTTATTTCCCTCATTAAAATGCAAATCAATTTATAACATTTTTGACATGCGTTTTTCTGGATTTTTTTGTTATTCTGTCTCTCACTGTTCAAATAAACCTACCATTAAAATTATAGACTGATAATTTCTTTGTCAGTGGGCAAACGTACAAAATCAGCAGGGATCAAATACTTTTTTCCCTCACTGTACCTTGTTTACTGATTCCAATCTATGTAAAATCAAAGAAAGAATTGTACTTAACCGGTTACCTGCTACTCTACTAGAATGTGCAACACTTTAGACGTCACTTTCCTTTTATGATATTATTTTATTTTGATGTTCATTCTCTCACCATTCTTATATTGCCAAATACTTAATTTCTCAATAAAAAGTTCTCTGAAAGTTTTTTGTTTTCCAAACCTTTTTGAAAGCTCTGTGAAACCTTCTGTATTTGTCAAAGTTAGAGGTAAGTGCAACTCAAAAGGGTGTACAGCCACAAGTACAAACGGTACAGCTACACATTTATGTTCCGTGTTTGAAAGGGACCTTTTTATT